CTGCCTAACTCTAGGTCATGAAGATTATTCTATATTTTCTTATAAAAGTTTTATAGGTTTACTTTTTGCATTTAGATTTATGGCTCATTTTGAGTTAACGTCTGTATAAGGTGTGGGATTTAGATTGAGGTTCATTTTCTTGCATATGGATGTCCAGTTGTTCCAACACCATTTATTAAAAAGGCTGTCCTTTCTCCCTTTGTCTTTAGACCTTTGTCAAAAGTCAATTTGTCATATTTGTGTGGATCTATTTCTGGACTCTCTGTTCTGTTCTAGCTACTATGTGTCTATCCCTTCGCCTCTTGTTAGATACATACACATTTAGGATTGTTATGTCTTCGTGGTGAACTGACCCTTTCATTATTATGTAACATCCCTCTGTATCCCTGGTGGTTTTCTTTGCTGTGAAGTCTACTTTGTCTGATATTAATATCTCAATTCCTTTTCCCTCTTTCCCCTACCCTAAAGATTAGGAATTTCAGTTTATTACTTTAGTACTTTTTTATAAGCCAAAAAGCAAAATGCCAGTGGTTCATCACCATCTTAATCTCTGGTCACTTCAGATTCAGTGATGGGTGGGCTGTGGGGGGGATCCCAGCCCACCACAGCTGGCAGGTGAGATCACCACGACAGCATAATTGTTCACAATTATTCACATAATAATTGTTCACATAATAGTTGTTCACAGTTATTTGGTTCCCATCCCTGCGGGAGGATTCCACATCCCTACCCTGTTGAACTCAGGAATGGCCATGTGACTTGCTTTTTCTGACAAGATGATGGAGGAAGTGATATGTGTCGCTTCTTAACCAGCAGCCTTAAGAGGCAACTCATGGTTCACTGTGTGTTTCTTCTTCTCTGCCATGAGGTGGGCAGTGCTGTGGCTACAGGCTGCTCCAATAGCCTGGTTCCTAGAGGGAAGATAACACAGAGCAGAACCACAGCTGGCCAGGGACAGACACGAGGCACAGACAAGAAATAAACATTTGTTATTATAAGCCACTGAGATTTTTGTGTTGTTTGTTACCACAGGATAGGGGCCAAGCTGTGGGCCCAATCCATTCTAGGCCTTAGGGTCCTACTCTTTTTTCCTCATAAACAGAAGCCAAGAAGGGCACTTTTCCTAAATTAGAAACAAAGAAGTGGTGGAGAAGGTAAGAGGGGCCAACAGATGACTGGAGTTAAAGGACAAACTGCCCAGCTGTTGGCCCCTTGCCTTAATGAAACACAATTTACTTTAGGCTCATCTGTCTCAGGCCTGTTCTCCTAGAGTTTGAGGATGTCATTGTCACTTCCCCTGCAGCAGGGGCGCTGAGTCTTGGCACAGGCCTGTGCTACCCCCTCTAATCCTGCATTGACATATTACTGTTGACTCTTCATAGCTCTGCTCGTAGCGGCTGTTCAGTGGGATCTGCCCCATCCTCTTCCTTCTTGACCCCACACCTGTCACCTCAGGAAATAGTTGTCGAGCTGTAGAGTGGCTCTTATTACAGAATTTGTCACTGATATTAATTTATTTTTTCAGGTGAAGTACACAGAGTTTAGTAATATAAAACAAAGAGAAGATTTATATGAGTGAGCAAAATTCAGGGCTAAAGAAGGGGAAGGACAAAGACCTGGGGGTAGAGAGCGTGCAGAGTTGCCAGGGTTTTTGTCTCAAACATGTCGATGGGATAAAATACATCCACTAGCAGTATTTACAGTAAAAATAAAAGAGGGCACCCAGGCTTTGTTTTTTCCTAATAAAAATAATGATGGTTACATCGAACTAACTTACAGATTCTTCCCCTAACCACATATCTTTATCTGATTTCCTGAAATAATTATATGAAAAAGAGATAATGTGAATGATATTAATATAGTTAGCAGTTATTAAGCACTGATTTGTGCCAGATACAGTCCAAAATGCTTGATACAAATTAATTCATTTAACCCTCACAAACAACCCTGTGAGGTCTAGGTACTGTTCTAATCCCCATTTGATAGATGGAGAGACTGAAGTAATTTGCTTAAGGTCACAGCTGGACTGTGGTAGAGCTTTGAACACGGGCAGTCTGTTTTCAAGCCTGTGCTCTTAAACACAATACACTGAAGGTTATGTGTGGGTATAGATATAATTAAATTATATTTTTAAAAGATTAGAAAGCAGCATATGGTTAAAATGATCATATCTATAGCCAGAGGCTTAGCCAGGACAAATCTACCCACCTTCCTCCTGTGGTGGGCAGTTTGCCTGTTTGTGTTTAGCTTGTACAATGGCATCAGATATGGAGGCCTTCTGTTCCCTCTCCGTTTAGATAGCTAATGTAAGCAGCAGATCCCAGAGCTCTAAAGAGACGGCCCTGTTGGGTGGCTCACAAAAATCAGTGAGTGAGAATGCAGGTGAGGCAGCACCGCCCTCCTCTAACTAGGTGAATAACTCAAAGACAAAACCACTGGATCATCCTTGTAAGAAGGGGCAGCAGACCGGGGGTCACAGAGTATCTCCCAGTCTGCGGTCATTTCGGTTATTATGAATCACATCCAATGGAACCTCCCACGTCTTCTTCCAACACGATGCATTATTTTTTGTAGACTTAAAGAGAGAAGCACGTCATAGTCAGCTCAGGCTGCTGTAGCAAAATACCATAAACTGAGTGGCTTAAACAAACAGAAATTTATTTCTCAAAGTTCTGGAAGCTGGGAAGTCCAACATTAGGGTGCCAGCATGGTCGGTTTCTGGTAGAGTTCTCCTCCAGGTCGTAGACTGCTGACTTCTTGTATCCTCGCATGGCAGAAAGAGAGCAAGCGAGCTCTCTGGCCTCTTATAAGGGCACTAATATCATTCACTAGGGCTCTGCCCTCATGACCTAAAGGCCCCACCTCCAAATACCATCACATTGGGAATTAGATGTCAACATATGAATTTTGGGGAGACACAAACATTCAGTCCGTAACAGTAAATATTCCTTTTGTTGAGTGCAGTAGCACCCCAATTGAACATGGTTTACATATGCAGTTTTGAATGTGGAGATCTCCGAAACACCCAGACTGCTTCTCTGCAATGGAACAGGGATTCAGGCAGTCTAGCTCTGGGTGAAGATAAACTAATCCATTTCAACAGTAAGCCCAAACTAAAGAATCAAAGAGGTAACTTTCAGTTAACAGGGAAGTGACATTTCATAATGCAAACTGCACTTGGCGCTGTGTGTAAGCAGACACTGCTGTGTCATCGGAAGGCTGTTTGTCTCAGTGGACTCACAGTTGATGAGTACTCCAGGAAGAGGCTGAGTTCTTTCTCTGGATCTCCTGATGATTTCCTGTTCTAGGGTTAGCCAACTGGCCTCAGAACAGATAAAGATGCTTGTGTTATACATCGCTGGTGCATGGTGATTCTTTAAAAAAGGAGTCCGATAGTCCAACTATTGGACTAGGACTTGTACCTTCACTCAGCCATTCCTAGACTTCAGTTCTAGTTGACTTTAAAATCATTGATTTGCAGTTGTTGGCTATAGAACTATGTCAATACACTGAATGCTGTTGCCCCTGAGGGCAGTATCAGTTGAATTTTAGAGTTTTTGAAGAGGGCATAGATTAGTTAAAGGAGAAAATCAAATATTGAATTCCTTAGGTGGTACCATTTAAAACTATGCCAATGTTTTTTTACTTAATTACCTTGGCAGTCTCACTTTGAAAGTACCCAACAGAATTTTTTCGTGAGCCCTCTTGTAAATAATTTGGTCCCCTTTTGAGTAATATATTTTTTAAGCTGTCAAGGCTCTAATTGTTATGATATATTTTATTAGATACATATTTCTTTGTGTATTTTCAGGAAAAGTTAACAGAGGCTTTATCTTTATGTGATTCTTTTCCTACTTTATCCATTTTATTTCTAGGCACAGAGTTTATTAAAACTGGCTTTTATAAAAATAATAGCTTTATTGAGATATAATTTACTTACTGTACAGTTCGCCTATTTAAAGTATATAATTAATGGTTTTTAGTATATTCACAGAGTTGTGCATCACCACCTCAGTCAATTTTAGAACATTTTTATCACCTCCAGAAAGGGAAAAAAACCTGTTAACAATCACTCACTCCCCATTTCCTCTCACCCCACCTCCACTCCCAGCCCTAGACAACCACTAATCTACTTTCTATCTCTATAGATTTGCCTCTTCTGGACATTTCATACAAATGGAATCATCCAGTATGTTGTCCTTTGTGACTGGCTTCTTTTAGTGAGCATGTTTTCAAGGTTCATCCATGCTGTAGCATATATTAGTACTTCATTCCTTTTTATTGCTGAATAGTATTCCATTGTTTGTATAGACCACACTTTGATTGTCCATTCATTGATTGATGGACCTTTGGGTTGTTTCCACTTTTGGGCTGTTATGAATAATGCTGTTATGAACGTTGTGTACACTCTTTTATGTGTGAAGATCTGGCTTTTTAGTGACTCAGCTGCCCTTTTAAATACCAGTGATGTCATAGCTACATAGGACCCTGATGTCCTCTTGCTCAGTGCCTCCTTTTTAGGGTAGGTGGCTTCTCGGGCACACAGAGCTAGAATGATGGAGTGGGGCCCCACATCCAGGTCTCTCGCTCCCAGGTTCAATGCTTTACCAGCTGGTGTGGAAACATGAAGGCTGAAGAAGCCCTAAAGCCCGCAGGGCACAAATTTGTAAAAGTCTTGCAGCTTTTTCTGTTTGCTGTTTCTTCTGTTTGTCACTTATTAATAGTATGATCTAGCCTGAAAGCAAAAGAACAAGAACTTCAAAGTTAGAAAGTTCCTTAGAGATTTTCTGGTCTAGTATCCTCATTATACAGATGAGGAAACCCCAGAGAAGTGATGTCACTTATCACCCAAAATCACTCTGTTGGTGGCAGAGCAAGGACTGGAACTCCGATCTCTTTACTCCTTGTCCCAGCCCTTGTGCCTCCTTAGGGCGAGCATTGCTTGCTCGGGAGCTGGGTGAATGGTAGTGCTGAGTCATTTTGTGTCTCTTCTCTAATAGAATCCTGTCACGGGGCTGCTCTCCGCCAGTCATGAGCAGAAGGACGCCTGGGTGCGGGATAACATCTACAGCATCCTGGCCGTGTGGGGCCTGGGCATGGCCTACCGCAAGAATGCCGACCGTGATGAAGACAAGGCCAAGGCCTATGAGTTGGAGCAGGTAATGCTGACTGGCTGCCATGTCTTGGCTGCTCAGCACCTTTTCCCTGAACTAAAAAGCCTACCAGGAAGTAGCTGTGTGTGCAGAACAGTCTCGTGCAGGTGTCGCCTCCATTTTTGCTATAGAATATTTTGGAGAGGCATTTAGATGGTCTCAACCTCTCATTTGTCTTTCTCTTTGAGATTTTTCCCTCCATAACAAGAAAAATCACACTGAATAGGAAAATAAAGCATCCAAGTCTCTAACATTTCTCTCACACATGCTCTGTCAATTTTATACATACTTATATACAAGGTGTCATTATAAACTAACATGATTTTTAAAGAGTCAGCACACCAGAACCACACATTCTGAAGTGTCCTGTTGAAAAGGTATTTATCCAAATAGTGTTGCTACAGCTTAAAGAATTTTTGGAATTTCCCTTGAAAATGCCTTTCTAGTTTGAGCCATTCCAAAACAGTCTTACTAGTTTATAGTCACCCTTTAATTTTAAACCACATTGATGTTGTGCAGTTTTTGTGCCTACGTTATCATATAGCACAATGAAGTCCTTTTATTGTTTTCCAAAATCGGAAACCAACATACACACCAAAGCAAAGATTTGCCATCATTGAGTATATAAGAAATTAATCTGCCCCTGAGCACAGGAGGTATTTTCAGGGTGTTTTGAGCAATAGCATTGAAGTAGGGAGCATTGACATCTAAAAGTATAGTTCTCTAGGCATGAGAGCCTTTGGGATTTATCTTTGATTCATACAGTCCTCGTTGGCCCCCACAGCCACTGGATCGTCAGGTCCAGGAAGAGTTCTTACTGCCCAGTCGGTGCTTGTTTATAGCAACCCAAGTGGGCATGAGTGGCAGGCAGCCTTGACAGCAGTAGGGAGGCTGCGAGAGGAAGCCTGCCTGTGGGAGCAAGGGAAGGACAGTTTGGATTTGACTAGACATGCTGAGTGTGAGGTGATGAAATCACCCAGTCTTGGAGGTAAGGCAAGAATGTTTTAAGAAATGCATACAGCAAGCATTGACTGCTCCTCCAAGAATTTGGATGGCTCTTATGTAAGTGAATCATTCATTTAACAGTATAATAATTTGATGTCAATGTCCTCCAAACTTCCATCCTTCTTTGAGAAAAAAATCATAGTAAAGCCATACCTGTCCACACACATCCACACACACCCATACCCACCCCCCCACACACACACCCCTACCTCTGCCTCTCCTCTGTAAGCGATTTCTGATCCAAGTTAGAGTTGACTAGATTGGCTGCTCTGTGACTGACAAGGCACAAACCGGCCACATTGTTTGATTTGTTGAGTGTGGTTAATATCTAAAGGAGACTTCTCCCTTGATTATGGAAAATAACACAAGATCTTCCAGTGATCCTCAACAGGGATGCTATTGCATTTGGGGCTTAGGCAGTACAGTTATTCATTGTGTGAGACTGTCCCATGCATTGCAGGAAACTTTGGGTCCTTGTCCTTACTCACTAAATGCCACTAGCCCCCACTCCCATCATGGTGACAATAAAAATACCTCCACTCTCACATTTCCAGATGCTCCCCCATCTCCAGGGGATGGAAATGTCACCTCCAGTTGGGAGCCACTGTTCTTCTTCATTATGGAAAATAACTTCTTTATTTGAGGGAAAGTCAATTGACAAATGTTTATGCTATACACTGTGGGAAATGTTAATTATACCTTATAATTATGAGGTAATATTCTCTGCCTCAAAAGAGTTTGTGATATAAAGTGAGATTATATTCTAGAATCCTAGGATTTTAGAGGTGGAAGGATGTGAATGGTCATACATTCCAGACTTTTCTCTGACAATGAACTTTTGTGGCCCTTCACTGCATCCTCCCCTGCAAACCATGTACATTCTATAAGAGAGGAGATGCTCATGGCCTTAGGTGGGAGCTTCTGTCAGCCAAGCTACTTTGACCTACAGAATATCCCGTTCTCCAGCCACTCGTGAAGTAGTTTTATAGTGTTTTTAATAGGACATATTAAGACCAGTCTTTCAATGGGCCTAAATTGTGTAGGAAGTGGGAGGCAACGTAATGTATTGACTAAGAGCTCAGACTCTGGAGTCAGACGGCCTGAGCTCTGTCCTTGCTCCACCCCTGCCAGCTGGGAGACTTTAGCAATGTTGTTTCATTTCTCTCAGCCTCGGGTTCCTCATCTCTAAAGTGGGGTAATAATAACACCCACCTCATTAGGTTGTTGCAAGAATTAGAGAGAATCCAAGTAAAGTGTTTTTTACAATACCTGGACAGAATGTCTGATTATCATAGTATTATTGTTATTATTTATAATGATAATAATGATAATAATTGGTTGCAATACATATTGTTAAGAAATCTTAGCAGCTACTTGTATTTTGTAAGAACTTTACTCAATAGTCCCGTAATGGTGTCACAAATGGCTATTTTGGCAAAGCATCAATACTTTGGGGCAGGCATAGTGGACTTAGTTCATCCTTAGCATAACAAAAATAAATTACTAAGAACTGTGACATAAAGCCCCAGGGTACTAGGCTTATAAAAATCGTTTTGCTAAAATATCAGTGAGGAGTCACTGGACTTCAGAGCTGGGAGGTACCATGTGGTCCAACCCCTTTATTTGAGATAAGTTACTTCGTTAAGGTTTTCTTTCTTTGTGATGGAGTGGAGAGGTGGAAATAGTCTAAACAGTCAGAATACTCGGGATCTGCCTTCTCAGGGAAGTCTCCAGGCAGCACTGGCTTACCGGCCATGTGGTGAGGAGGTTGTTTTCATGGAGCAGGGAAGCCAGCCTTGTTACTCATCCTACTTTATTTCCACAGAATGTGGTGAAACTGATGCGGGGTCTTCTCCAGTGCATGATGAGACAGGTAGGCGGAAAACGAAAAATGTGTTTGCGGGTCATCTGAGTAGGCATTTCATCATTTTCATGGTGACAGCTAACATTCTTAGAGTATTTTGAACTTTTCTTCTCAAAATGAAGACAAATTGAAAAGATTTTGCTTACTTTCTCCTTTTAAAGTTATCTTCAATAATTTTATTATACTATAGGATCACAGATACAAAGGACACTGTTTCTCAGAATCTCTTTTGAAGAATTGCGTAAAGGAGAACATGCCCTTTTTTTTAAAATGAGGAAGAAGGGCCGGCCCCGTGGCTTAGCGGTTAGGTGCGCGCGCTCCGCTGCTGGCGGCCTGGGTTCGGATCCCGGGCGCACACCAACGCACTGCTTCTCCGGCCATGCTGAGGCCGCGTCCCACGTACAGCAACTAGAAGGATGTGCAGCTGTGACATACAACTATCTCCTGGGGCTTCGGGGGGGGAAAAAAAGGAGGAGGATTGGCAATAGATGTTAGCTCAGAGCTGGTCTTCCTCAGCAAAAAGAGGAGGATTGGCATGGATGTTAGCTCAGGGCTGATCTTCCTCACAAAAAAAAAAAAAATGAGGAAGAAAACATCGTTTTTAAAAGCAGTTCTAGAAAGCCATGTACTATTGTTTATTCTGTTGAGTTTATAAAAGGGTTTCTTTTCATTTGAGTTGAAATACTTGAATTTTTAAAACTTGACATTACTATTTACTGGTATTTTCAGTGAGGGGTAAATTAAACAATTCATTGAGCATGTACTGTATACAGAACATCGTACTAGGATCTACACAGATTCAAAGATGAATATGATCCCGTCCCCACCCTTAATCAGCACACGCCCGGTTAGTCTTCACAGACATAGTTGCTCTTTTCCTTTCAACATAAGGAAACAAGAAGTTGAAATTTAAACAGGTCCTCTTCCTCCCCTACTTCTCTCTCGCTTTCCCTCCCTCTCTCATTGAGTGTCTGCTGTGTGTCACAGCTCATGCTGGGGATAGTCAGATAAGGAGACCCTCTGGCTTGACTCCTCACCCCTGCAGAACTTGTTACAATTCTGTTGGGCTGGGACATTTCCGGAGATGGGCAGGAAGAATCCTCTCACACAGCCCCTCTGCATGCTGCTCACTAGTGAACACTTGCTGCCTTCCATCCCTCTGGCTCCCAGAGGTAGCAGATACGAGGTCTAGATCCAGGAGAGTGACCCTGGGTGTGGCCTCTGCCAACCATGAACCCCTTAGCTCTGTGGAACCAGCTTGCTTTTTCCCTCAGGTGGATAAAGTGGAGAAGTTCAAGCACACTCAGAGTACCAAGGACAGCCTGCACGCCAAGTACAACACTGCCACCTGCAGCACAGTGGTGGGCGACGACGAGTGGGGCCACCTCCAGGTGGATGCCACGTCCCTCTTCCTCCTGTTCCTGGCCCAAATGACTGCCTCTGGTGAGCCAGGGCCGTTTGAGCCCGTTGTGTAGAGAGTGACAATCCAGAAGGGGGCGAGGAGGAGCAGGCGTTGATCAGTATTCAAAATAAGCTATTTCTGTAAAGAAAAAGCGTGCTTCTTTATAATATTATGTGCATTGACTCTCATGTGCCAACAGTCAGCCTCCTAAGCACTTATAGGATGAGGGCTATTGAGCCAGCTCTATTAGCGTCTCTCTGATTGATCCCAAAGCTTCCTTGCTGTCACTGTCACCTAATTCCTGGAGCAACTTAGATCAGATCTACCTTCAACAGTTCAAATATCTGCAGACGGTGTCATGCCTCTCTTAGAGTTTTCTTCTCAGGATTAGCAGGACTGGCCATTCAGCTCTTCCTCTCACTGTCCTGGTCACACTCTTCTAGATGCACCCTCCTTTATCCAAATTATATTCAAACAACATAATTTCTAGAACTTGGCAGTGTGTCCAGAGTGGTCGGTCAGTCTGTAGCACCCATACTGTGAGTGGACCCAAAACTTCCAGACAGTGAGCATTGTTCCTGTTGAAGCCTGAGCTGTTGGCTTCCATGGTGGCCTGGACACCATATGGGCTGCGGCACGTCTCTGTGAACCAAATGGCCTCTCCCACAAGGGAGTCTGCTGCAATGCTCCCCCAGGGATTAGGTCACTTAGCTGCTGTGTCCCTGAGTTCTTATCTCCAGTCCAGTGAACTGATGCTCCTGAGTTAGAGGCTTCCTATTTATGTCAGACCATAAGTGTGAAACTCTAAAAATAGCAGAAATCAGTAAGGAATATTGTATAGCTTTGTGAATAAACCAGGCATTTATAAAAAATACTTTCTGGTTATGAAAGTTAATATGAGCTCACTGTAGATATGTTAGAAAATATTAACAAAATACAAAGAAAAAAAATCCCACTGTCAATTTTCATTTGGATGTGTTTCCTCCAACTCTTTTTTTCTATTTTTTTTTTTACACATTTGTCATATTGTATGCATAAATATGGTCTTCTTATTGTATAGCGTTTATAACTTAAGCATTTCCCCCATGACCTTAACATATAATTTTATGTTTAAGCTCTTCATAAATGTAATTTTAGTGCCTTCATCAATGGATATTCCATACTTAATTGAATTATTCCTTTATTCCTTTTTTTTTTGCGATTACAACTAATGTTGCCATACCAACTTTGACCCCATCTCTATTTGCTTCCTTCCATTAGATATCATTCAAAGGCTACTCTTACATATTGCCAAATTGTTTTCAGAATAGTTTACTAGTTAAACTCCTCCTAGCAATGTAAGAGTGCATGTCTTACCATACCCATACCAGCGTCAAGAATTCATACTTAAGGGCCGGCCCCGTGGCTTGGCAGTTAAGTGCGCGCGCTCCGCTGCTGGCGGCCCCGGGTTCGGATCCCGGGCGCGCACCGACGCACCGCTTGTCCAGCCGTGCTGAGGCCGCATCCCACATACAGCAACTAGAAGGATGTGCAACTATGACACCCAACTATCTACTGGGGCTTTGGGGAAAAAAAAGGAGGAGGATTGGCAACAGATGTTAGCTCAGAGCCGGTCTTCCTCAGCAAAAAGAGGAGGATTAGCACGGATGTTAGCTCAGGGCTGATCTTCCTCACAAAAAAAAAAGAATTCATGCTTAAAATATATGTGTATTTGCCATAATCAACTAAACATTCAAGGACCCAAGCAAAAATCTGCTCTGTTGGTCACTGCCTGCTACAGCGCGTTGATGCAGCCCCCTGGGCAGGTCCCAGGAGCTGGCCTTTCTGCGGGGTGAAGGGCGTCCCCTGAAGGTGGGGGCTCTATTTTCCCTATCTACCCTTGGGGAAAAGAACCGACCCTTTGGCTCACTCAAGGCTAAGGACAGTGTCTGGTTGCTCTGGGTTAAAACCCTTGTTTTGTTAGAACCTTCTCTGCAAATCCAACACCTACCAGAAGGCCCCACACCTTCTCTTTCAGTCCTTTCTACTTGTAGGCACTCTTACAAAAGTGGAGCCCACCCTTCCTTGCTTCCTTCCTCCTGCCCTCCCTCCCTTCCTCCCTTACTTCCATCCATTAGACATTAACTGGTATGATTTACTTCAGACTTAATTTTTGATGCCCTAGTAAGAAAAATGAAAATGGGGATAAAAAGATTTATTTCCTAGTGTGATATTTGTAATCTGTAATTGGCAGCTAGCTATCTCTTCACAATATAACTCCAAACTTCTATGTTTTTCTTTACTAGGTTTACGTGTTATTTTCACCCTCGATGAGGTAGCCTTCGTACAGAATCTTGTCTTTTATATAGAAGCTGCATATAAAGTTGCTGTAAGTATCAACCCCAGTAGTTTTTTCAAAAGGAATAAAAAGAATAAAAATCACACAGTTCTTTGAGGGCCAGGCTGTTTGGGGCTGACCAGAAGCTTAGCAAGATTCGAGATATAAGGTTATGTTACCTCCGCACACAAAGTGCACATTTGGGTCCTGGGACACAGTCAGGGAGCTTATGTTTTTGGAGTGTACCACATGCTCTGCTTGAATCCGTTTTGCTTATTTTAAATAAGATCCTCAAATGTCTGATGGCACGTACACAGGCCGGCCTGAATCTGGGTACCTCGGTAGGAGCTGCTGTGTTGTGGGCATCAGCCCCCAAGGCCCACAGGTAGGGGCCGGAGCCAGATGTGTGCCCCAGGCCAGGTGTGTGCACGCGAACGTGCATAAACCCCGGTTCCTCCGGGCTTCTGTCTGGTATGGAAGGTGGAGCCTGACACACTTCTAGAGAACAACTAAACTATGCAAAGCTGACTGTGAGGGCAATAAGGAAAAGGTAGAGTTTGGTTTGAAAAATAAAAAAGGCCACTGTGGTCTAAAGCGGGGGTCAGCAAACTTTTTCTGTAAAGGGCCAGAGAATAAATATTTTCAGCTTTGCGGTCCCTATGGTCTCTGTTGCCACTGCTCAACTCTGCCATCGTAGCACGAAAGCAGCTGCAGACGACATGAGAACATGTGAGCATGGCTGTGTCCCACATAGACCTTATTTACAAAAACAGGTGGCAGATTAGATTTGGTCCAAGGGCCGGAGTTTGCTGACCCCAGGTCTAAAACGGCAATCTTCCCCTCCCAGGGTACATTTAGCAATGTCTGGAGACATTTTTGGTTGTCACACTGTGGAGGGTGCTACTGGCATCCAGTGAGTGGAGGCCAGGGATGCTGCTGAACATCCTACAGTGCACAGGACAGCCCCACAACAAAGAATGATCCAGCCCCAAATGTCAGTAGTGCTGAGGTTGACAAAGCTTGGCCTAAAGAAACTTGAGGAGTCTTTGTGGAAAGGGTGGGACTTTAGTTGGACCTTGGAGGATGAGTAGGGTTTAGATAAGCAGAAGGGAGGGAAAAGGACGTTTCAGGTGTGGGAATAGCATGAGCAGTCACAGAGGCAGGAACAGGCTCTGAGTGTGGGAGGGGTGCTTGGGGAAAGGGCGTGCAGAGTGAAGGAGTAGACTTAGGCTAAAAGTGAGTATTGGAGAATAGTAGAAAATAAGGCCAGCTTGTGGGCGTGCAGGGGGTGGAGGCCAGATAATAGAGGTGTGGCCATCCAGAGAGAGAGATTTGAACTCCATCCACTAGGGAATAGACAGTCTGTCATTTTAGACTCTTATGCAGGGGAGTGAGCTGATCAAAGCAGTTTTCAAGGGTAAGTCACTTGCCTCTGGGGTTGTAGTGAAGCAGGGTTGGAGCAGAAAGGCCCAGAGGTGAGGGGTGCTGAAGGAAAGAGTCCTGGAGCCCGGCTACACGGTGCGCACGGCAGGGAAGAGTCTAAAGTGGCTCTGGTGTGTCTAAGTTTTCACATTTTGAAAATGTTCATCTTTGGAGATGAAATAATAAATACTGAAATTTTGGCATTGGTCCTGTTCTTGTTGGGTTGTAATCTTTCAATGGTGCACCTAGCATTATTTCAAAACGGTATCCAGTGTTTGGGTTTCTTAAATGAAAATATGAATTACAGAAGTTAGGTATGCATGTATCAAGTCTCTATGTGGACTGAGTTTTCTGAGCCAATTCATATGAATCAGTTTTAAAATACCAGGGAAGTTCAAATATTCCATGCCTCCATTTTGACTTTGGCTCCTGTTACTTGCTGAGCACTTTTTTCCCCAAGAGGTAATGCTAGAAATAGGTATTAAATTATTTTAAATGGTTTGGTTGGCTTCAAGTATTTATAACTCATTTGTTAAAGTTTCTCTATTCCATCTTACAATTTAATATAAGTTCAAAGGGATTAGCTAAATAGAGTGGCAGCATTTTATTTGATTTTAAGATAAATAATATATTTTGTTCTCTACAAGTCAAGTTTCTTACAAATTAACTTTTATGAATACGAAAATTGAGAGCGTTTTTGCATGCATTTTTGTTCGACCTGAGTATTTACTTCTAAAACTCTGCACAGAGTTTAGTATAATGCAAAGTGAAATAAGTCAGAGGGAGAAGGCCAAATACCGTATGATTTCCTTCATTAAGTAGTAGATAATAACAACAATAAACAAACACATAGGGACAGAGATTGGATTGGTGGTTACCAGAGGGGAAGGGGGGAGGGAGGAGGGTGAAAGGGATAATTCGGTGCATGTGTGTGGTGATGGGTTGTAATTAGTATTTTGGTGGTGAACATGATGTAGTCCATGCAGAAATAGAAGTACAATGATGTACACCTGAAATTTTTGCAATGTTATAAACCAATGTTACTGCAATAAACAAATAAGCTAAAAAAAAAAAAAAAAGAAAATTGAGAGCGTTTTTGCATGCATTTTTGTTCGACCTGAGTATTTACTTCTAAAACTCTGCACAGAGGTCAAATGAACTGAAAATGAGGAAAAATACAGTCTGAATATGGAAAGCCATGAATTTGGTAGCCTTCAAGAAGAGATATTCCTGTTTCATTATGTCTACGGTAACATGAAGGAATCATTTTTCCATAGCACTCTCATGTACCTCTTTCTCCTGCTCTGATTACTGCCTTTTTCTCCCGCAGGATTATGGAATGTGGGAACGTGGAGATAAAACGAACCAGGGCATTCCAGAATTGAATGCAAGCTCTGTAGGAATGGCCAAGGTGATGGTCTCATCCTGTTTGTTCTTCTTTTTGTGCGTTTTTACTGCTTTGATTTGGTTCTCTAGGAGTTTGGATTTAATCTGATTAGCATATTTTTCAAAAGTCAACAGCAAGTGTGAAATTCAGATGGCACATGCACCCCAGCCAACTGAAATTATAGGTAAAGAATGTAGGTTTCCTACACTGAAGTCTCATGTGCCTGAAAATCAGTGCGCTCCCTCCTCGTTATCCATTGTTATCACCCGCGGGTCTAAGTTGTGGCTGTTGTCTAAGAAGCTGGGTGCATGATGTCCAGTCTTCCTTTCTGGATCATAAAGAGGGCTGAAGAATATGACCACTTCGTGGGGCAGGGCTCACAAGTTCAAAAGTCTACAGGTCAGGTCAGGCAAGTAACATAAGCAAGTGAAGCCAGCCAGCTAGAAAAATATCGGAGGGGTACTGGGGACACTGGGAACTTTCTCTAAAGGTATTCCAATTCAAAATCATTTAAAAAACTTCTTCAGGCTAAACAAAACACCCCTGTGGGGCAGATTCAGTCTGCTGGCCACCAGTTTACATCTCTTACCCTAAACTTTTAGCATGCCGCCCTCCTTCCCTCCGTCCTTCTCAAGACTGAAATGTATTTTTGGACAAAGTAAAGACTCCAGAGTTAGAATTTTTAAAACAACAATAAGTGTGCTCTGTTAAGGTCAACTGACAGAAACAGACTTAATACTGAAAGAATTAACTTTCTTAAGTGCCAGATATGCTAATATTAGAAGTTCACCTCTAAAATAGGTGAAAGAAAAGCCAACCATGAATTTAGTGCCCCCTCACACACACACCCACACAGCGTTATGAACTTGTTAATATTTCAGTTTTTGGTAGAATACTAATCTCATTTTGGGAAATGTTTTTCTGTTTTCTCTTTCTTGTTCCTGCAATGAGCAGCAACATACGGGAAAACTCGGATCCACTGAAAATAAGGATAGAACACGACTATAGGACACTGTAGCTGGAGTTTAAAAATGTGTTTCATCACCTTTGGGAAAACATGTATGCTAGATTGCTTAATGAAAAAGAAGTACTACATATGGGGGTGTATGTTTACTAGAAAGAAAAACTAATTCATACCTGTGCTTGTAGGCAGCCCTTGAGGCAATTGACGAACTGGACCTTTTTGGAGCTCATGGAGGACGCAAGTCAGTGATCCACGTCTTGCCCGATGAGGTCGAACACTGCCAGGTAACGGCTCAAGTCTCTCTTGCTCCAGAGAGTAGGGAAGGAGACTCATGGAGTGGAAGATTCAGGCCCCGGTTCAGATTCCTCACCTTGCTAGCTTGGTGGTACTTGACTTCTTTGAGCTTCAGTACTCTCATCCATAAAATGGGCATACTGGGACCTTCCCTTCCTGCTGCACAAGGTGGTTGTAAGGATCAGAGTAAAGCAACTTAGTTTGTCAGAGCACTTTGTAAGCCAGAAAATATATGCAAATATAAGACACGACAACGATGTGGTATATATATATGGAGTCGACAGTCAAGGCAAGCTTGTATTGCTGGAGGCAGGATCTGTTTTGTGTTTTTTGAGCACATAGGTGGTTTTCTCTCAGGTTTATTTCATCATGCCCCCAAATCGAATGACTAGCAAGCACTAGTTCGCTTGGGGCGAGGGGTGGGGATGGGCAGAATAGATAGTGGAGGAGAGATGAGATGGGAGAAATGACAAATGAGTAGAACCTCCATGAATACAGGTCAGAGAAAGGAGTGATTTGATGCGCATTAGGGGACTTCATTAAGCAGACAGTAGGTCACCAATTGCTGGTCAATCAGCAAACTCTTATTTAGTGAGGGCCCGCTGTGAGCCAGGTATTATGTGAGGGCTGTGGGAGTGAGACACATAAAAATTTGTAAGCAGAGAGCTTCCTGTGGGAGTGCATGTTTCCAGGCAGAGAGAGCCTAGGGAAGAGGGACTAGTTAAAGAACTGGGCTTGGGGGATCAGTTGGCTATGGGAAATGAAGCTTTATTCTGAAGCTAAAGGGTTCCCCCTATCTTTATCCCCCCTTCGAGCTCACTCCATTTTCCCCCATTAAATAGTCCTGAGTGGGGAATCTGCTATTTCTGGGGTATGCTTTAATAGAGTCAAGCTGGTGTGTGTCTTAATAGATGTGTAGTCTAGTGGAAATTGCATGAGCTTTGTAGCCAGCTGGGCCTGGGTTAGAATCCTAGCTCTGTTGCATACTAGCTGCATGCTCTTAGGCAGGAGTCTCTGTGTCTCAGAGTCCTCATGTGTGAATTGGACATAGTACCCGAATTCCTTCTTCATATGGAAAATTTAATAAGCTTGTGTTTGCAGGAGTCTAGCCCCATGTCTGTACATGTTAGATCCCATGTTAGCTCCCTTCCCTTCCCAAACTTTGCCTTATAATCTCAGCTTCCTTCAGTTTACAGTGCCTAATCCAACCACCTTATAATTGAGTCCATATTATAGTGCCACTAAGAAACCCATTCTTTCGAGGACTAAACTTAAGTCTGTCGTTTACCATTTTGCCTGAGCATTCATGCAGTCTTCTGGATTTGACTCCTTCTTTAAGTGGTTTCTGGGTCACCTAGTCCAACTGGTCACATTCCACAGAAGCTAGACACTTCTCCATGCTGGCCCCATATGTGTGTTCTTCTCTGTCTCTATCTTCAGCCTAGGACACCCTCGCCTGCTGACACAGGTAGCCCGTAGTTCCTCCCCTGCCTGTCCTAAAGGCCAGCAAAGTCAACAGAAGGCATGGAAGGAAGGGAGACAAGCAGTTCTCAGCAAGGGCTCCAGGCAGTACCGTGCTCTCCCCAACCCCATTCTCTCCTGCAAGAAACAGGAATCATTGGCTGGGTAGGCGAGATCACCTAGCAGGGGCTATGTTGGTAGGACAAAGCTCTACTCAAAATTGGCAAACACATTCGAATGTTTCCTTGGGGCTAAGGTCATGGTCTCTAGATACTGTATGTACCTATTAGTGCTTCCCAGGTTAAAGCCACCTCTTTGTTTTTCAGTCTATTCTGTTCTCCATGCTGCCGAGAGCATCGACTTCTAAAGAGATTGATGCTGGACTTCTTTCCATTCTTTCTTTCCCGGCCTTTGCAGTAGAAGATGTGAACCTTGTGAATGTGACCAAAAATGAAATTATTTCCAAGCTCCAGGTAAGCATTGGTCGTGCTGGTGCCCTTCTGCCCTGGGTTAAGTGACCCTTTTACATGATGCCATGGAGCAGCTCACCCAGGCCTTAGTTCTCCATGAGGCCAATGGCTTGGTTTATCTAAGTGGACTCATAGAGCGAGGTATCCAAAGCTGAGTCAACGGGCAAGAAAAGGAAGTCTTGTGTGATCGAGTGCTTTGGTTCTCTTCCTAAGTGGCAGAGCTTGAACTCAGGCCGGCACCTTTGCGCCCCAGTACTTACCACCCCTGTACTTCTAAGGCAGAGCTTCTTAACCCGTTAAAGATCATAGACAGACTCCTTTGAGAATCTCCTGAAAGCTAAAAAATCCCTGCCGGAAAAAAATGACCATGTCCCAGTATCCTCAAACTTTACACAAAATTTCTGGGAACTTGGCGATCCCAAAGTTAAACTGAGGTTAAAAAAATCCCTGCTCTCAGGTGAAATGCAGGATCTATGACACAAATTACACCAAACTGAGAATGTTATTAAATACGCCAGCCAACTGGAGTTATCAGTAAAATGATCAAAGAATGTAAGTTCCCTAAGCCGAAATCCACATGTTGCTGATCGTACTTAGATTCAGAGAAAAATGCTTTTAGCCCTTGAAAACAAAGGGGTTAAAGGTTCTCCAATCGTATCTCCAAAAGAAAGCTTCTCAGTCAAGGTTCAGTGGAGAGAAAGGAACCTCTTTAGCTTGTCGAAGTAGGCAGGGAGTTAATGCAGGGAATGAAGTGTTTACAGGGAGCCAGTTCTAGGCCGGGCTTCCCCAGGACTTCCAGAACACTACGGGGCTGGCTGCTAGCAGTCACTTGCCTCTGCAGCCAAAACTAGAGCAGCCCCCATGCCCTTAAGAAACTGGGGAATGGACACCCAAAACTGCGATCCAGGGCTTAGGGAGGCAGATTAAGAGAGCACTGCCACTGCCCTTCTTTCTTGATACCCAGGAAGCTGGAGAGGAACACTGGAGGCTGCAGCAGGAAAAGAGCAGCTGTGGCCCTAAGCCACAGGAAGTACCGTTTCTCTCTCTGCCTTACTCCTTGCAGAATGCAGGCTCCTTTGCGTCCGTAGCCTAACTGTGAGCAGTCTGGAGTGTCCTCTTGGCTTTCCAGTCTTTCAACTAGAAGCAGTCCAATCCAAGTATCTGTCTCGGTGGCTTCTCCAAGCAGTGAGGGTCCCTTTGCGTCGTTGCATGATACAGCAAATCAGAATGAAAGGATGGTCATTCACTGAACTCTCAGTAATTCCTCTGACAACCCTGTTACTCTAATGGGAAGTTTTGGCATTCCCTTCCAACAGCTGATCAAACCTGAATTTACTTTGCTTATTGTATAATAACTTTTTGTACTGATAGCAAAGAGCACTTGGTCCACATTTCATTACTAAAAGATTCGTGGGAAAGGGGGTGAAGGGCTGACTTGAATCAAAATAAAAAGACAAAGAAATTCTTCTGTTTCACCAAGTGCTTTTTTTTCTTTGTCTTCTTAGGGGCGTTACGGATGCTGTCGCTTCCTTCGAGATGGTTATAAAACCCCAAGAGAGGTTGTATTTAGATATTGTTTCTTATGATTCCTTAACTGCTTCATATCTAAGTGGCCACTGTGGTGTTCTCCCTCTATTGCTGATAAAATGGCATGTTGGAATATTGGAAAGGGAAGTCTTAATTTTAGAGTCAGCAAGCCTGGAGTTAGGCAAGAGACTAGTAAGATCATCAGGAGGACAGCAAGCTGGTGGTTTAAACCAGCTTATAGACAAGGACAAACAGTTCTGTGGCCCACACGTTTTTTTAAAGACCAACTCTGGCCTCCTCCTTGGGTTTCTTTGCCATAGTGACTGATATAATGATATCAATAAAACAGTCACTGAGTGCTGTGATAGGCAAATTGTTATTTATTTGTTAGAGATATAGGAAGCTTAATATAATAAACTACCAAGGAGTTTTGTGTATGTTTCTGATTTAATTTTCTGAAGTTTTACCATGAGAAACTGCCAAAAATAACATCTCCTTATTATAGCAGCGTCCTAATGGTACCAACCTCAAAGCTGCATTGAATCTAAAGTGAGGGAAACCCAGTGGGGTATAAAAGTATTATTTATGTAATCTGATATCATCTTTCAGAAAGTTTACCTGTTTGATTCCAGGACCCAAACCGATTGCATTATGACCCTGCTGAACTCAAGCTCTTTGAAAACATTGAATGTGAATGGCCTGTGTTCTGGACGTATTTCATAATAGATGGAGTCTTCAGTGGTGATGCCGTTCAGGTGAGAAAATGCTGGATGTTGTGTTGATAATCAGCATTTTCATTCCACTGGTATGCTGGTTATTGTTAGAACATAGGGTTATGCAAGAATTTAGGAGACTGTTTCAGTTATCTGTTGCCGCTTAACAAATTTTCCCAAAACTTAGTGAATTAAAGCAACAGCTATTTTATTTATTTGCCTGTGATTCTGCAGTTTGGCAGGGCTCAGCGGACACAGGTTGTCTCCGCTTCACCTGGTATCAGCTGGGATGGTTCAGTGGGGCTGGAGGACCTACTTCAGAGGTGGCCTCACTCACATGGCTGGCAGCTGGATGCTGGCTGTTGGCCAGGAGCTCAGCTGGGCTGTTGGCCTGGACTGTGGTTCTCCACGTGGCTAGCTTGGGCTTCTCACAGCATTGAAGTCTCTGGGCAGTTAGGCTTTTTACGTGGTGGTTGTCTTCCCCAGAACGCAAAAGCAGAAGCTGCCAAGCTTTCTTGAAACTTAGGCCTGGAACTGGCAGAGTGCCACTTCTGTCGCATTGTGTTGTTTAAAGGGCCATCCCATATTCAAGGGGAGGGGACTCCACGAGGGCATGAGTACCAGGAGGCGGGGTGCATCAGGGACCACCAAACCGTCTCCCACAGATAGGTTTTGTCGTTCTTTTCAGATCAGCCTGTGGTTTCGCTGTCTTGAGCTCTACTTTAAGGGTACTCTCAGCTACAGTCTTATTTAATGTAACAGCCTCCTAGCTGGTCTCCCAGCCTCCAGCCTTGCTCCCTGCTGTTGCCATTCTCTGCACCACCATTGCCAGGGTGATCTTATTATTTTTTTTTATTTTTTTTTAATTTATTTTTTCCCCCAAAGCCCCAGTAGATAGTTGTATGTCATAGTTGCACATCCTTCTAGTTGCTGTATGTGGGACGCGGCCTCAGCATGGCCAGAGAAGTGGTGTGTGCCCGGGATCCGAACCCGGGCCGCCAGCAGCAGAGCACACGCACTTAACCGCTAAGCCACGGGGCCAGCCCCAGGGTGATCTTATTAAAAGGCAAATTAGATTATACTTCTGCTTTGCGTAAAAGCTTTGAATGGCTTCCTGATTGCTTTTGGATGAAGTACAAGCTCTTCATGTGTTTTTTAGGGTCCCATAAGATCTGGCCCTCATTTTCACCACTATAGCCCAATTTCTTACTCCTTACTTTCTTTTTTGAGTTCTGTGAGCCAAGCACCCTGAAACCCTTTCAGTCCTTTGAATAGGCCATGCCGTCTCTCCCCTCTTCTCAAATGCCCAGGACATGCTTTCCAACCTCCACTGCCCCTCCCTTCTTCACTTGCTTCATGGTAAGTGTCTCTTCTTTCAGAAAGCCTTCTCTGACCCTAAAAGCTCGGTCAGGTGCCCCTTGTATATGCCCCACGGCTCTTATAAGAGCATGGCACCTATAAGCGTATTTAATCTCCAGTTACCTGTCAAAGGACCCTGGTAGAGGGGGTCTCTAGTGAGTTCACTAATATATTCCCGGTGCCTAGTACACAGTAAGTGCTCAGGAAATATTTGTTAATGTGACGTTCATCTGTTCAAGACAGGTTTCTTTAGCATTTGCTGCTGTTCATTCTTGGGTGAGCAGACCAGACCTGTCCTCGTGAAGCTTATATGAATGACTGACAAACTCAAACACCTTGCTGGTTTCTTAACCTTTTTGGATCACATGTTCTGGGATGGGATGAGAAATCTAAGATTTATTTTGGTTTTTGAAAGCTTCCTCTGCTCAGGAATGCCAAGGGGCTTTAGTAAGCTTGAAATGTTAATATTCCCCATTGTTGATTCTTACTCTTATACTTTAGTGATTATCTTGGGTCTTATGTTTTCTGTCTTAATATCCCAGAACTGAAAGATCTCGAAAGGATTGAGTTGGAAACAAAAAAAAAGATAAGGAGACAAAAAGGACTGTGCTTAGTATCATATTTCCTAGGTCTCACAGAATTTACTCCTCTTAACGCCTACACTCTCTCTTCTACTTGCTGTCCAATGACATTTAAAAAAGAATGCACAGGCTTTGCTGTCCGTAAATTTCAAAAGAAAAGAAAACGAGAGCTGGAAGGTGTTTGGGCTCTCCAAAGATAAAATGTAAATAGCTGGGTGGTTGGTTAAGGGTATCTTCCCCCTTTCTTCTTTTCCCTTTTAATACGTAGGTTTTTATCATTGCCTTTTTAGTTTAATGGAAATGTTTACATAAGCAGCTTTTATTATATTGAGTAGTGCATCCTAAGAATCGGGGTACATGGATCACAGTACATACACTTCCTTCCTCACATCAGATTCATTCAGCAAATATTTCTTGAGCAATAAATGTTTGAATGAGGGCCTTTTAAATGGAAAACTACTGATAGGTGGAAATGGGATGCACTGCTTAAGATCTGGCCTCCACTCCAAGAAGATTATAGTCTAGCTGGTAAGACAAAATTTAAATATGTGAGAAGTTAAGAGTGAAATGTTTAAATCATGAGTTAAAGACAACAAGAAAGACCAGTCGCGTTTAGCTCCTCCTAACATTTGCTGTCAGCAAGAGTCCCAATTCCTCTTGCACTCCTTGAGCTTTTCTTGGCCCTATGTCCTGTTTCTAATCTGTTTGTTGCCAAAAGAGGTGTTTTTCTATGTTGCACTGCCGTTACAGCATTAACGACCCCTCTTTCATACCCTGGGGGATGGGTTATTTTCCAGGTCCAAGAATACCGGGAGGCATTGGAGGGAATATTAATCAGAGGCGAAAACGGGATCCACCTGGTGCCAGAACTCTACGCCATCCCACCTAGCAAGGTAACCAGGCACTGCTTATCTGAAAGGAAGTGAGTTGGTGCTTGGCCTTTTGGTATTTTTCATCCCCCTTTCTGACCTAACACTGTTTCTCCAGGAGACGTGGTTTCTAAAGCCTTCGGTAGTGGTCCTGTCTATTACAGGAGTTATGGCTTTGGAGCCATGCTTGAACAGGAGTGCCCAAGGGAGGCATCAGTTGAGGACCTTCAGAGGATACCTGTCCCTCCCCCAAGCCCGAGGCCAAATGAGCCCTGAAAAGCACAAAACACTGTTGGGCACCGTGTTCTCACACATTTCCACAGAAGAAGAAAGCAGATAGAATCTCCCTGGGGAAGGGGAGAGATGTATAGGGATCGTTGAGAATCTCTTCCTTTGAGTCAAGCAGTGCCTGAGCTAGAGCCTGAGTGATCCCTTAGAAGCCATTCTGTGTCAGGGAAAGAGAAACTGGTCAGTTCCAGGAAGATGCCCAAAGATAGTTTTGTTCTATCCGGTTTCTTAAATTGGGTCACGATGGACCCATATATCTTGGCGAGAAGATTTCCCTATACATTTCTCATGTTTAGAAGAAAAAATTCTCGATTGAAATCTGTTTGTCCTTCAGATGTTCCTCTTGCTTCAAAGTTTCGTTATTGCATTTGCGCGAGGAAGCGACTTCGGAGAGCAGCGTCTTCCCCCAGTTGACAGGCCTGCAGGAGATCCTAACCCAGCAGAAGCTGCCGTGCAGTGGCTTGGGTTTAGGGGTTCTGTGGTTGAGTCAGGCCCACACGCACATGGTCAGGGGACTGGCGGGGGCCTTTGAAATTATCTGTCTCAGCTCAGAGAGGCTATGGAACCACTGGGCTCCGCCTGGGACCAGACCCCAGGTTCAGGGTGTCCCCACAACCCCACACTTCCTCCTAATGGGTGATACATTTCCAGGTCATGGAGAGTTCCTCACTATACAGATCAGGCCATGGAGCCTACAGGGGCTGTTTTCTCTCTGAGTATCAGAGACATAGATTTCCTGCAAATGTGTTCATTTGACTATGTGTGATGTGCATATGTTAGTGGGGGAGGGGTTGACGGTGGGGGCTGGGTAGTTACTTTCCAGCAACTACATGTTCAAGTTGCCTCTTTTCTGGTACTGAGGCATTTGGCAAAACAAAATTAGTTATGGGAGGTAATTTGGAACCTGGAAGCAGAGCAAGGGGAAATAAGTGACTTCAAGGGTATTTTACCAATTTTATAGTAGAGAATAACTATCTATCTGTGTTCTACTAAAAGGCACATTTTCCTGACTATAGTAAATGCTAGGTGTTATAAGCTATACTTTTCTTTCTGATGGATAGTGCTGACTACACATTGTAAAAAGTTACTTTGCAACTTGCTCTCTTCTAATCTCCACACTGACCTTGGGTTTCTGCTCGTCATTACAACATCCTCTATCCAGCGTGTTTACACATGAGCCAGGCACCAGTTTGGGACACTATTTTATGTTGAGCACAGTTTGTGTTGGCTGCTTCCAGATGACAGCTGGGAAGTTTCACCCATTGCATCAGTAACATGTAGAGACCACTGGGATGTAGGACCACTGTAGACAGAGCCACCCAGACCCATATGGCATGTTTGTGCAAATTAGAAAAAGGGCCTCATCCTTGGAGTGGCTGCAGCCCCAGGCCTAGGTGGCATCCAGCCTGGATTTCAGCCTCACTCACTTCCTCAGCCAGACATGTTGTACAAGACACCACCACCCCCTGGGCCCTCCATTGGACAGCTTGAGACTAATTCAAGTATGCCCAGCAAACATGTATCGAGCAGCTGCTCTGGGCCAGGCGCCAGGCTGGGTACTGGGGTACAAAGGTGGTTTTGCCAGCTCTGCCTCTGCGGGCTCGCAGGCCTAGTGGAGGTCGGAGGAGCTAGTCCGTGGGATGGAGGGCGGACACAGGAGTAGCGGTGGCAAAGGCCTGGTGCATCAGAGGACCTGCAAGCGGGTTGGAAGGACTGGGGTGGAGACAGGGAGAGGGACGCCTCCATGGGGAAGCAGGAGCTGGCCTTTGCGGGGGCAGGGAGGGCAGAGCCAGGCTGTCTTTTGATCCAGACACTTTGTCTGCCTTGACTATCTCTCATTCCAGATCTGTGCGGTCTTTCTTACCATGTTACTTACCTTTCAAATAGCTTTAACGTACAATCTGATTGTAAATGTAATCTTGCACACTACAAAACGTCCAGGATTCTGTAGAAAGAAAAGAATACTTATCTCTAATCTTCCTACCCAAAGATAACCACTAGGACATTTTGGAGCATCTCCTTCCACGCTATTATCCTATTCGATTATTTGATTATTGGTGATGCTTGATTCTGTTCAGTTAACCAGCTGAAGGCTTTCTTAAAGTTTACTACTACAGCCAATTTAAAAATTTTTACTAAATATATTAATAATGTCACTGATTAATCCACAAACAGAGAATGACTCCCCTTGTGGTGTGATTTTCCCCTTTGGAGAAAGATAAATGTTTCGTATTTCCTTCAATTGGCTTACATTTTCTGGGGGAAACAAGTGGTCACTAATATTACCCGCAACCAACATTGTAATGACTAAAAACCCAGAGGTCAGCGTGGAGTTTCCAGCAGAGAAAGTTGCAGACTGACTTTTACAACATGTAGCCAGCACTGTCCATCAGAAGGAGAACTGGAGCTTATTTTAAGGAATCAAAAGCCCCCAGTGGCTTCAGCTTTACTTGATGGAAAAGTAGTGATCTAATAGTATAGTTGTTTTTCCTCAATAAATAAATAGTGCCACCTTCTGGTAGTTTTCTTGCACAGGCACAGAGAGTTTATGAACCCCTTGGGATAGCATGCTAGAAGACACCTGACTTAGCCTCCAGCAATGCACTGCCGTGGCTGTGGGCTGATGTTTTAGATCATTGTACCCATAATACAGTCAGATGTAAGCATGAGCTGTGAAACTTCTTGTTGCCCGAAGCTGTGCTCAAAGAAGGCAGGCCAGGCTTCCAGTGGCTGTCTCTCTGCCTTTTACCATCAGTGTGCTTATGGGAAGAGCACTGGCCTGTAACCAGGCCTAGATTTGAGTTCAACCTCAGCTGCCTGTAGCTGTGCGGCCCCCTGTGCAAGGGTCTTAGCCTCCTCAGCCTCCCTATCCCGGCTCTCACACATGTTGGTCTGGAGGATCAAATGAGTAGCATTTTGTAAATCCTCAGTGTGCTCCCCACTGTACAGTGACCTTGGCCTTTTTATCCTCTGACATTCTGACTGGGTTTTTCTCTCTTTGCCAGGTAGACGAAGAGTATAAGAACCCTCACACCGTGGACAGAGTTCCTCTGGGGAAGCTGCCCCATCTGTGGGGTCAGTCTTTGTACATCCTTAGCTCACTGTTGGCAGAGGTAGGGGCCTTGGGGGGTTCACACACTGGAAACCATCTGGTTTGAGGTGCAGGGAACCCAGAATAGCACAGGGGCTCTCTGCCTGGTGTGGCGTTGAATGTCTTGGGCATCTTCATGGCTTTAAAGTCAACTGGACTGGGTTGTCTCTGAGTCTTGATGGCTGGGCTTGTGTGTCCATATTTATAGTAAACCAATTCAGGGTCAGCTGCATGCCAAGCACTGTCTATCCCCCCCAACACCCGCCACAGTATTCCTGGTCTGTGGCTAGAACCTGGTTGAATTGATGGTCAGCAGGAGGCCAGAAGCTTCTCAGCCAGGATCAGCACATGTGTGAAAGATACAGGGTTTGGGAAACTAGAGGTCTGCTTCGAGCCACCCCTGGCACAGTCCTAGGCACAGGAAGCAGAAGGACTCGATAGTGCTTTCTCCATGAAGGGGCAGTGGGCTGGTTTTTCTGTGGTGAATTTTCTGTCCACAACACCCCCACACAGAAGGTCTACTGCCTCTGATTCATTTCTTCTTGTTAAGCATTTTCTTGACCCCAAGCTTAAGTTTTTAAAATGCAAATGCTTTTGTGCCAACTAAAAATGAATCCCCCTCCCCAGTCCTAAGTGTGGGTGACTTTGTCAGATGAGTCCATCTTTCCTGAGAGGATCCTGCCCAACTGAGCACTCTGGGCCCCTGGGGAGGGGTGTGAGAGAAAGAACCCAGGGCCCCTGGGTTGGGGTGTGGGGCTGGCCCCAGTCCAGTGTGTTCTGCCAGACTCCAGAAATGGGGGAGGGAGCAATGGGTCAGATAGCACTGGGGTTCCTAGCATGTAAAAGAAGACCAAAATTAAAGCTATCACAGTGGAAGTGGCCCTCCAGAGCTGTTGGTGCTGATGTGGAGCAGTTGTTCCATGGGCGTGATCATCTCCCCAGTTTCATGGTCATGTCCTTGGGGGTAGGAACTGTGTCTTATACTTCTGTCTTTATTAGTAGGGAAAATGCATATATCTCCTTTGGAAACTCAGCCCTGCCTCTGACTAGTTCTGTGACTTCAGGCAGGTCTCTTAACCTCTCTGGGCCTCACTTAAAGTGAAGAGGTTGGGCTCGATCATCTCTGCAATACCTTCCAGCTCTGATTTCTGTAGCAATGAGATGGAAGCAATAACTCTGCCCCTGTTTCCTCCTCTTCAATGTGAAGGCCTTCATCTGGGCCCAGCATTAGGTCCAGTTCCTCATCAGAACTCTCAGAATCTTTGATTCCCTCTCGTAGGGCCCCGATCGTTTATAGACAACGTGAAGAGCACTCTGCAAGCAGGGAGGGGAGCTTCGTGTTTCGGGAGAGTCAGCCATGGGCCAAGTCCCCACTCTGCCACTTACTGTAAACACATTACCTCGGTTTCCCCACCTGTAAAATGGTAATAATAGGTAATAACATCTGTTAGGAGGCCTAAATGTGACAGCACATGTACGGTCTCCAGTACGGACTCAGCACGGTCCCCGGTGCAGAGTAGTGGCTCAGGAAGTATTAGTTACCATTATTCTTTTCAAGCACACAAGATGGTGGGGGATTTGACTAGCCCTGGAGAGCCAGGTGCTGAAAACATACATTTATCAGTGCCTTTCTAAATGGTATACTGTGTTTCAGAGAAAATAAGCAATTGACTTGAAAAATAAAAAGGAATAAAATACGGAAAATTCTGAGGCCCAAAATATTTCATTTTCACACTTAGGTTTAAGGTGAAATTTTAGTTAATCAGTATTTCATAATGTGAATGCTCCTCTGTTCCTAGGGATTCCTTGCCCCTGGCGAAATTGATCCCTTAAATAGAAGATTTTCCACTTCTGTCAAACCTGATGTCGTAGTACAAGGTTTGTGAGTGTGTTTACTATTCATATTTAACTTTGTAAAACCAATGTTATTTTTAATGCAAATTGTTCCCTCGTTTCCTATTTAATTTGTTTACAAGTGTGTATGTGTGTATGCTTTAGCCTGTATTGGTTCTGTGAAATACCTTCTTATGACTCAGTAGCTCCCAAAGGCAACAATATTCTTCCCAACCACAAAGTTACTTTCTACAAAGCAATTGTTTTCTTGAATCTAAACCTTGAATGCAACTGGGGCACAAGTGATGCATTGAGCATCATTTTTCATAACTGCTATTCTTTAAAAAGGAGAACATGACTCCGGTGAAAACTCAGAACCCAAGTGAGAGTTCACTTTTTCCTCCCTTTGAGGTCTGACTTCTTTCCAGAGCTGCAGGCCCACGTTTTCCCCTACCTCCACCTGCCTCCCTTCCTCTCCAGCCAGCAACTCTTCCACGGAGGTGGAAGGCCAGCCTGGGCTGCTGCGGCGGTGGCGCTGCCTCTGCCTTCCCATGTGACCTCACCTCTGTGCCTCAGGGTCGTCATGACTGGCGCCCCTCATAGGGTGGTCTTGAGGTGAACTGAGGTTGCCCCGGGGAAGGTGCTCAGTGCAGGGCCCAGCCTGGTGTGCACCCGGCTCACCAATCCCTCTCCCTGCTTTCCCTCCTAGGGAAGCCTTCCGAGGAGCTCCTGTGCCTCACGGAGCAACTTCTGTACTAGCTACTCTCACAGCACGCTGTGTACGCACCTTGTCTCCTGTAAATTAACACTGAACATTTCTTAAGCACAAGGCCCATATCATTCTTACAGCTTCTATGTTGATTGACACACATGCACTCACTACATTAAAAACAATTATTGAACAAATGAAAGGCAATTCTCTTTGTGGCCACGGACTCATTTCAGTGTGCCTGCCAGTGATGCGGCGAGAGGCCCTGCAGGTCATCACCTGGTTGATATTTGTGCGCCAGGCCCCCCGCCAAACACACCCAACCATCACAACATTCTGATCAGCTAGAAGCTATGCCGATTATGATTATCATCCCCATCTTACATGAGGCTTAGAGGTTAACTTACTCAAGGACCCACAGCTGACAGCTGGAGGTGCGAACCCCGCTCTGAGATCAGGTGGGCTGACCCAGCCTGACTCCACAGCCACTGCACTTAACCAGAGCACATGCTGCTAAGTGTCCTGTAAATCCACAAGACTGCTTTTCCACCTGCAGGCTGGGACATTGATTGGCCTGAGCCACGGTTTTTTTTTTTTTTTCATATAATAGAATAGAACAGAGTAGAAAACATCAGAGGGTCTGGCCTAAAGGAAGGGGAAGTGCGGTTTCGGAAACTTCTTTGCGTACACTGTATCAGATTAGGAGGCTCACAAGGCTCACAGGTCTGGGTCAAACCACTGCTCTAGAAGAGTCACTTCTCCAGAGAGTGACCACTGTGTGACTTTGATACATGCAGATCTCTGCACGGCATTGGAAGCTGCAGAAGAGACAGATGTTAAGGGAAGCCGCCCACCCAGGCCTGCATGGCTGATGTTCCCGTTTGCTGAGGGCCTGGGGATTAGCTTCCAGTCCTGTTCAGATACAACTGGCCAGTTGAGCATGTAAGGCTTCCCCTCAGGGCCTTGTTGTGAAGCTCAGACGAGAGCATGGATATTAAAATACTTTGAAAAAGCATTATATGCTACATCAATATAAAGAGGTGACATTCAGGTCTCAATGGCATTTATATGTGTTGTACATTCAGGCGCTTCCAGCCTGTGGGTACAATGGTGAGGCTCAGGGTAACTGAGGTAACAGTAACTGAGTCTTCCTCTGGCCTGAGCACCGCCCCCAGCCACTCTAGTTCCCAGCAGGCTCTGCTGCACCTGGACACAGCACCAGTCACTCTCTCTGTGGCCAGAACTCCCCTTCTCCAGTCCCCTCCCCAGGACTCCTTTCCTTTGCCAAAGCACTATCCCTTCTCTTAAAAGCCAGCAGTACTGGTACAGCAGGTGCAGGCGTCTGAGCCTCCCTTTGACTACCCTCATCCTGGGCACTCTGAGCTCCCTGCCTGCTAGAGAGCCAGATGCTCAGCCTCACCTACCGGAGATGGGGCGCAGGCTGGCCCATTGGGGGTGCAGGGCTCAGCTCTGGGGTGGTTCTTCCCTATCAGCAGGGCCCTGTGCTGTGCTTCCGGGTGGGCCAGGCTGCCCCACTACCACCAACAACCTACTAGCAGGCCCACTTTCTCTTCTCTCTGGAGGGGAAAACCTACCCCCACCTCCCCTTCGGTCAGAGTATCCCCTGCTAGCACATGCCACCATGTTGCTCTTCTTTTCTGTCCTTTGAGAGCAGGGGCACAGGCTTCTCCTGGCATCCCCTGTGCAGAGCTGTTTCCACTCCTGACTCCATGTGAAAAGAACACAAGACAGTTTTGGAATAAATGCAGACCCAGAGGGAGGCAAGACATTATTTGAGATGGGGTAATTTCGGTTGGGACCTGTTGAAGACCATTTCTAGAAATCTCTTATTGGACTGTCTTGCACATTGAGGGCACCCGATAAATATGCATCATGGTGTGGAGGGGAGGCCAGAGAGAACCAGGAAGAGTGGCAGGATGAGCACTGTCATTTTCAAAGCCACCCAGGTGTGGAGAGCATGCTAATGTGTATATCATAGGCCAAAGAAGAGATCAGTCAATAATGCATATCCACGTTAGGAGACAAGGGCCACAATCTAATGCAGACTCTATGTTCTTCTTATTCACAGTTACTGTTCTGGCAGAAAACAACCACATTAAGGAGCTGTTGAGGAAACATGGGGTAGACGTCCAGAGTATTGCTGACATTCATCCAATCCGAGTCCAGCCAGGCCGGATTCTTAGTCACATATACGCCAAGCTTGGTGGGTTTGGGGAAATAGCAGGGCATTTTTGGTAAGGGAGCATCTTGGTTCTAGATTTTGGGTCTGGGGGAGACTGTGATATGTGTAAATTCTACAGAATTGGGCAAAGCACTACAACAGGTACTTTGGCTGCTTTCAACGTGAAGAGGGATGGGCGAACAAGCACGTTCTTCTCATGCCCATTCAGTAGATGTTGCCACAGGTTGGCTGTGCGATTCACCAGATCTATGGTAAAATAAGGAGCTACCTTTGAAAATTCGCAATTGGAACAGTCATTTGTGTCTTGATAATGATTCTAATTTTTATCTACAGTTTCAGAAAATGCTCGTTTACCCATTAAAATGGGAGAGGGTGCTCTTTATTTTTTCTAAAATCTGACTTTGTTTAGTATTATGGCTCAATACTAAATAAGTTAAAAGTAAACATTAATAAAGTCCTTTTAATAGTTCTGTTCCATATAGATGTTGAACCGGGTGCTGTTCATATACATGCATGAAAAGAAGGGGGGAGGATTGTTTGTAATTCGTCCTTGTCCCATTTTAAAGAAGGATGATGGTATTAGAAAAACCAAACCCCAAAGTGGGTTGTTTAACATAAAAAATAAGCCCAGTCTTAGCTGAAGTCACTTGAATTAGATGTTACTATGTTTGCCCTAACTCTAATTTCTCTTTTATTTTTCAAATAGGACGGAATAAGAATCTGAAATTGAGTGGGCGACCATATCGGCACATTGGTGTCCTTGGAACATCTAAACTATATGTGATTAGGAACCAAATCTTTACTTTCACACCCCAGGTGAGAAGGGCAGGCCAGTAGCAAACCAACAAGCCTCCTTTCATTAAGCTCTCTTTTCTGTCTGGTGAACTACTTTGAATGTGGCAGAATATGCGTGTGTATGTTCAAATAGAGACGTATAAGATGACGCCTGGTACCTAGTACAATTCTTTACTCATAATAGGTGCTCAATAACTGTGGCTTGAATTGAATTGAGTATGCCATCACTTCCAGTCATGAGTCATAGTGAAATTCACACTACTTTACAAGTTTGCTAGTGACATGTCACTTGACTTGCAGCCCTTGTGCCCCTAATCGCAATAGTCTCTCACCCTTGCTTAGGTTGGCATCAGACCCTCTGTGTAACACTCAACCAGTCTGATTTTCAGGCACCAACTCCCTTGACGGGATCCTGAATATACTGATTATGGAACTTTTCTTCAGCGTTTTTGTTTCCAAAGGAAACTAGTCCTGTGGAACCCAAACCAAACGTTTTTCATCCATTTGGGCAGCAGAAGACCAACTGTGGGATCTCTTTGTCAACGTGCGGCATGGTGCTCCCACTGCCTGGGCACACAGTTGGCCATGGGGTCAGGGGTCAGTAGCCCCAAGTTGCTCTTTTTCAGCAGAGCCCATGCTGCTCACTTAAATCTTGTGAGTTATTTCCCTTCGTAACAAATTTCAGACCAGAGCTGAGCATGGTCTAGTCCAGAGGCCAGGAGAACAATTTGATTTTCATCCACATCAGGCAGCAGTACCTTTAGTTCACATTGACCAGGCCATCAGTCAGGTAAACACAGTATCCACATCTCACCTGCTCTCAGCGCCCTCACTTGGAAAGCATCTCCGAGCCCAGCAGCCCTGAAAGGAGTAGGTATGAGGAGGTATTGATTTCCTTTCAGAGACAGCGCTGTTGGGCCAGGTGCTTAAATCTCCATCTGAGGAGCTGTAAGTAGATGTAGCCGTGCACCCTTCTCTTCCCCGCTAATATAGCCACGGCTCCTGGGCAGGCGACAGGTCGATTTGTCTGATCACGAGGAGAGCCCCATGATGGGGCGGGTTACAGCCAGGATTGAGCCTCTCCTGTGGAAACAAAACGCAAGGATTAGTGCTGCCGTGAATGACAGCTGGGGTTGTGTTGAGGGAAATGAAGGCCAGCCTTGTATCTGGTCTGTTCTGACTTGCAGTTCACTGACCAGCATCACTTCTACCTGGCCCTGGACAACGAGATGATCGTGGAGATGCTGAGGATCGAGCTGGCCTACCTGTGCACTTGCTGGCGGATGACGGGCAGACCCACGCTCACCTTCCCAATCACCCACACCATGCTCAGTAATTCTGTGAACTTGAGCTGCCTGAGTCATGCCCCACTGTTGGTTTGGGCTCTGTTCAAAGTGTTTAAAATGAGTCCCATGGACAGAGCTAAATACTGGAGGGGGTTCTTAGTAGTTTGGTTTCTTAGCTTGGGAATCTTCTATGCTATACATATTTTAATTAGATTGTTTGATGAAAACATTTCAGTGCATGCCAAAAAAAAAAATGTATTCCCAGATTAAGTAAACTAATTTGTCTTTTTTTTCCTCCTTAGCAAATGATGGGTCAGATATTCATTCTGCAGTTCTTTCAACAATTAGAAAACTAGAGGATGGATATTTTGGAGGAGCTAGGTAATTTGTGATTTTTTAGAAATAAAAGTAGCATTGACCTTTCTCAAAGTCTTTTGCTGCCCTTCTCGCATTTTTCATATCAATTGCTGAACATAGAAGCGTGGCACTTGAGAGTAAAAAGGAAGTTAAAATTTATCTAATCCAGTTCCCCGTGTGAAACTGGAATCAGCTCTAAAGCAGCATTCGTTGAGTGTTTGTGAAGCTTTTACAGGTGCCAGGAGGCTGGGGCATAGAGAGGTAAACATATCAAGTCTCTCTGACGTGGCATCCTTGGAAGGCATGTGTGGAATGCTGTGTCCGCTTCTAGTAAAAGACATGGAAGAAAACCCCCAGTGCCCAGGATCTAGCAGGTCCTCAATAAATGCTCCTTGAATTGACTTGGGTATGCTATCGTCTCAAGAATAATTCACAGAACTTTACAAATTCCTTAGTGGCCCTCAGAGCAGAGCACCTGAAGGGATCTGCCTTGACCATTATCCCCTCATTCTCAGTGGAATGATACCCACTCTGGTTTGCAGGCCCACAGTACGGCAGATGCTCCCAGGTATTATGGGTGAGCCCCTTGAGTGATCATGGCTCACCTCCCAGGAAAACCCCTTTTGTTTTTATTCACTATAACTGTCACAAGGCAGAGGTTTTCTCTGTAGCATCTATGCCCTAATCTCTCTGAATCCTCTGGAATATTCCAGAAGGGCCCCAGGAGCACCTCACCATGCAGCCGGCTCCGAGTAAAATGTGGCCTTTCCCAGGCTCTGGGAGGCTTCCCTTGGGTCCCTGATGGAATGCCAGTTGCTAAAAGTGGGTGTTGAAGTCAGCCCTTCTTACATCCTCCCACACTAGGGACCCTGGTGCCACATTAATTTTTTTTTTAATTGTGGTAAAATTCACAAAACATAAAATTTACCATCTTAACCATTTTAAAGTGTACAGTTCAATAATGTTAAGCACATTCACGTTGTTGTGCAACCAATCTCCAGAACTCTTCATCTTGCAAAACTGAAACTCTGTACCCATCAAACAACTCTCCATTTTCCCCTGCCCCTGGCCCATGGCAACCACCGTTCTACTTTCTGTCTCTAGGTATCTCATCTAAGTGGACTCTTCCAGTGTTTGTCTTTTTGTGACTGGCTTATTTCTCTTAGCCTGATGTCCTCAGGGTTGAGTCACTGTATTTCTAAGCGCTGGGCTTGGCACCTCCGCTCACAGAGCTTGCTTCGGGTTTTGCTGTAGACTTGAGGCGGCCCTTGCTCCAAGCTTCTCCTGACCTCTCTCAGGAGTGTCAGCGAGACCGTCCCCAGCACTTTGCCATCTCCATTTCCAGTGCCAGCGCCATAACTGCAGTTGGCACCCACTTCGTACATTTCACCTCTAGTTTGGATAAGTTACCACCTGGCTTATGGCATCATAACTGAGAGGAAATACCACACACCCACAATTAACTGTTTTTCAAAATAAACTCTTTAACTGAATTCTAATCATTGTCGAAAGGATAGTGTCTGCGGTTATTTGAGCACTTGCAGTGTGTTCTTTGTTGCTTTGTATGGATTGTCTCATTTAAGATTTTATTTATTTATTTATTTTCCCCCCAAAGCCCCAGTAGATAGTTGTATGTCATAGCTGCACATCCTTTTAGTTGCTGTATGTGGGACACGGCCTCAGCATGGCCCGAGAAGTGGTGCATCGGTGCGCGCCCGGGATCCAAACCCGGGCCACCAGCAGCAGAGCGCTCGCACTTAACCACTAAGCCACGGGGCCGGCCCGTGGATTGTCTCATTTAGTCTTCGCTTCGTCACACAGGCTGTCTTCCCATTTTACAGACAAGGAGCTGTAGGCTCAAAGAGCCAGGGGTACAGGTGCAGAAGCTCTGTGTGAATGCAGAAACCAGGCTCTAACCACCCCGCTGAGCTGGGTGAGGGCTTACAGGAATCAGGAGGGCCTCCTGTTTATAGAGGATGGCAAACGAGTCAGAGAACTATGGAAAGAAACAGGGATGCCCAGGTTCCATCAGCCACCTTTCCCACTAAATTCTTGATAATTAAAATGGAATCTCATTTTGGCTTTTCCTTTAGGTCTGACGGTCTTTAAAAAGCTGAATTCACCGAGTAGCTTGCTATCAGAAGCCTTTTTAAATTACTGCCTTTCCGCCTTTGACCTGACTCCTTTCAACTTCATCAGAGAGAAACTTTCCATTGTCTTTCCATGCTCCACTTCACCTCATCCTGTTCTCCAACCTCAGGGCAAAACAATCATTAGAACTGGCCCCAGGGCTCTAGGGGGAAAAAGTTTTTACTTTATTTTTTTTTTTTTTTTAAAGATTTTATTTATTTATTTTTCCCCCAAAGCCCCAGTACATAGTTGTCTGTCATAGCTGCACATCCTTCTAGTTGCTGTATGTGGGATGCGGCCTCAGCATGGCTGGAGGAGTGGTGCCTCGGTGCGCACCCGGGATCCGAACCCGGGCCGCCGGCAGCGGAGAGCACGCACTTAACCGCTAAGCCACGGGGCCGGCCCCGTTTTTACTTTATTAAGGGAAGACTTTTCTTTCCCTCAGGCCATGTTTTTTGATGTAGTTCATTTGCCCATTGAAGGTCAAGACCTATGAATTCATTTGCATCGCATGCTTCAATTTACTCCTTAAATGTTTCTCTCAGACATTTGAACTAAGTCATAATCTGATGCTGGTGGCTCCGAGGCATCCTATTGTTTTCTGCCTCTGGATCTAACACTTTAAGGAGCACACAGTGCCGGCTTGCTTTCTGTAGGGTGGACATCCTTCGTGCTCCCCAAACCTGGGGGTGGACCTGCAGAACTTGGAGGCTGCTGCCTTTGCAGCGGGACCCCACACTGCCAGACCCAGCTCCCAGTTTTCAGTGGAACTTTTCCCAGCCTGACAATGTAATAGGGCCACTCTGGGCATCTGCTCCAGTCTGGGGATGGCCTGCCCTTCACATTCCTTCTAGAGAGAGCTTTGGCTCTGAGACTTGCCTCTCCCATCATATACCTGTGCCTGTGTGACCAAGTTGTGTGGTAGAGACTCGTAAATGATGGCTTAAGTACACCCAGAGAATCATTGCTTATGGTTTTGTTCTGGTCCAGTCGTTTTAGGGCAAAAAAACTCCAAGGGTTGGTTCTGGTTAAAAGTCGTTCGCTTTGGTTGGTTCAGTAAAATAGATTTCTATTTGCGTTGGGTTTGGGAGTAAGAAATCAGCATAATTCATTTTGGCTTTTAATATGCTGTGTGCTTCCACTTCATGCTACTGAATCTTCATTTTGATTTCTTGGCTGACTACTTATGTGGGGAAATCTGCAGTGATGTATTTATTGATTCTGGCAGAAGCGCCACCTGGGTGTTGAAAATTCTCTCAATTCATAGTGGAAGTTTGTCCATATGCACCTGTATCTCTAACAAGTGTCTCCTTGGCAGAGTAAAATTGGGAAACCTTTCGGAATTTCTCACCACGTCTTTCTACACGTATCTGACCTTCCTGGATCCAGACTGTGATGAGAAGTTGTTTGATGAGACCAGCGAAGGGAACTTCAGTCCTGATAGTGACTCAGATTTGGGAGGATATTTGGACGAAATCTATACTCAAGGTACGGCTCGGAGTACCTTTGCAGATGGTTCACTGAATTTATTTAAACCTTGGCATTGTGATAAAATTGCCCTAAGACTCAAGCACAGAAAATGATTGGTAATTAACATTAAAAAAAGAGGCTTTGGAATATTAAAATGAATAAAATGCCAGTTTAAAAACCAAAACTGCAAAAGTGGGGCTTTTTTAAACCTAGAGAGAAGAAGAGTTTCGGGAATGAGGACTTTTCACAAAATATATTCTGAAGACAGAAACACATTGCCTAGGTTTTCAAAGGAATGGTAGAATGATGTAGGTTTGGTTGGATATGAGTGATGAAATCCTATGTATATTACATTTATCTAACTGAACAAGATTTTGGGTTGAAGTGACCTGTTTCTTACTTTTAGATAGTACTTGGGGTTGGGGTTGGGGTTCCATAATGCTTAGCTCACTCATGGCAAATTAAAAAGATCAGATGTCTGCTGCTGGCCCTCAGGTTGTCTCACATTATTCAGTTCTTCTTGGGATAATGTGATGTAAACACTATCTTGACCTATATTTTCTTTTCTTAGGATGAAGTCTGGGGCTGGGGTGAGGGTACAAATATCTATATCAAAATGTTGTCTTCCACAAATCCACTCAGCGCTGCATGCTCCACACAATCACTATTATGCATTTAGAATGTTTCTGCAGTTTGTTTTCATTGGCTCTTTTTCTTGCCTGTCCAGTCACAGAAAGCCAGGACGAACTTGACCAGTATATCAACCACCTCCTTCAGAGCACATCCTTGAAGTGCTATCTGCCCCCTCTTTGTAAGAAGACTGAAGACAGCCACGTTTTCAGTGCTGTCCACTCTACTCGGGATATACTTTCCGTGATGGCAAAAGCAAAGGGTTTGGAAATTCCATGTATGTTATTAACTCTTTTCTGCCTGTTAAAATAACATCTTTTATCAAAGTAATGCATGAGCATAATTTAAAAGTCAAAGAATTCTAAAAGACAACAAAACGTAGATGTTTCCTGCCTCACTCCATCCCTCCCCACTGCCCCCAGTTCTTCTACTTAGAAGCAACCACTTTCAACTCTTAGCTGTTTCTTCTGGCATCTGCATATATCCATATTTCTAAAATAATGTGTGTATGCTACTGTCTTTTGATGCATTGACTTTATTTGGTATCTGTTGCCTTTCTCTTATGTGGGTGAGGATTTAGCTGTCTTAAATCACCACTCCTCTGCTTCGCTTCCTCTAAACTACCGATGTAGTTGTATTCAGGTTTAGTTAAAACAGTATTCACTCTTTATATTATTATATGTATGCAAATATTATTCCCAACTGAGCATGATAGCATACTATTATATTATTTTTACTTTCTGTTTTTTTCTAAAGTTAATAGTTGGCCTATCTTTTAATTTGCTTTGCTTCCTTTCTACACCTTCTACTGGCCTCGCAATACAAACTTCCACAGGGTCAATCATATCCGTGAATCTCTTGGTTCCACTACTTTTCTTAGAGTCCAGAGTCTCCTGTCTGGCTGATTGCACTCTAGGCCTGTTGCATACCTGGCATCCTAGGATTTTTCTTTACTGTAATCCTTGGAATCTCTTTTGCTTATCTCTTCAGTTGGGTTCCCCTTTCCCAATTTATTCCTTTGGTAGAGCACATTCTAGAATAGTTTCAATAGGTTAAAAAAAATGGCACAATGGAAGAGGCCATGGTGATGACGGCCCTCAACTTGCTTGTTTCTGAAGTTCGCTGCCCCTTTTGGCCTGGTTGTCCTCCATATGTAGATTTGGATGTAGATTTTATCCTGGGACCTTCCTTCACCATCATCCTGGAGAGTTCCTTGAGACTTCGTTGTCTCCTGTGTTGGCTCTCCTATTTTCTGTATCTATGCTTTTCCTCTTTCTTAGCTTTTCTCTTATTTTGGTAGAGGACATCCAGTAGTTTCCTGAGAAACAGTGGATGGTGAGTAAAATTGTTGAGACCTCACAAGTTGGAAAATATCTATAGATAGTCTATATCCATTTGAGAGTTTGGCTGGGTATAGAATTCTAGATTGAAAATAAATTTTTCCTCAGAATTTTGAAAGTGTGACCTCATTGTCTTCTTGCTATGAGTGTTCCTATTGAGAAATCTAAACCCATTCTGATCTTTGATCCTTCAAATATAAACTATTTTTTCCTTTGAAAGTTTTTAGGATCTTCTCAGCTCCCAGGTTCTGAGATTTCAGTGATGTGCCTTGATCTGGGTGTATTTTCATCCACTATGTTGGGTACTCAGTGGGCCTTTTTAATCTGGAAACTTATGTTTTTCAGTCCTGTAAAGTTTTTCTGAAAAATTTCTTGACTCATTTCCTTCCCTACATTTTCTCTGTTCTCTCTTTCTGGCATTCTATGATTCCAGTGTTGACCTCCTGGAGAAGTCTTCACTGTTTCTCTTCTGTCTTCCATTTTTCTATCTTTGGCTCTGTGCTGAGGGCAATTGCTTCAACTTTTTGTTCCACCCCCTCAATTGAGGGTTTTTTTTTCACTTTTGCTATCATGTTTTAAATCTTTGTTCTCTGAATTGCATCTATTCTTGTTTCATGCATGCAATATAATTTCTCATTACTCTAAGAATGTTAATGGCAGGGCTTTTTATTCTTGGTTGTTTGTTTTTACATTTTCTTCTCTCTAAATGGTTTCCATTTCCCCCAAGTTGATTTTTCCTGGCTTTTTTTGTTTCTGTCTTCCACATTAGAGTCTTTCCTCCAGTGCTGGGTGCTCCCTGGTTCTCTGCTCATGCATGAGACTCTCCAAGCACAGTCAGTGGGGCCTGTTGAGTTTGTGGGCGTAGGCTGGGCAGATTTCCCAGAGATACTCTGTAATCTCCTTTGCCATCTCCTTTTTACCATAAGGGTCTGGTTCCCTGGAGCTATGCAGTCACTTATTCCCCCTAAGGAATGTACCCAGGCCTTCAGACATGCCGGTCAGCACCACCTCCAGAGACACACCTCTGTTTTACCCTCTTTATAAAGACCCACTAGTCTTCTGTCAGGGTGAACAAGGCAGTTGCCAAGCTGTGTGGAGTTGAGGAAGGCATCTAGGGAGCTCACCCCTTCTCACACAGATTCCCCCTAGTTTTTCTTATTTTGGATACCCGCTTTGGACCCCCTACTTCCAGAGGTATGTGGAGCAGCAAGCTCCTGAGACTTCTGACGATTCTCTGATGTAAATCTGACTGGTTCTTGGTTTTCCCCACTGCAGACTTAGAGTTTGGTTGCCTTATATCTGCTAAATCAGTTATCTTTCATCCATCAGCTTTCCCGCTTTCAAAATGTTGTTACTGTTGTCTTCGCTCCTGCTTTCCCCTATTCTTGAAGATTTGTCTTTTTTTAAAAAAATATATTATTTTCTGTACTGTTAGTGGGGAGTTGAGAGGAAGTAAAATTAAAATATATGTTTAATTCACTAAGGTAACCTGGAGGTCTATAAATGCCTTTTAAATATGCCTCATGTTTACTTTGAAAACTTCCTATTTTCCCAAGATGGTATGATATAGCCTGGAAGACACAGATGGCTTAATGAATAAATATTGATAATGATAACATCCAAAGGTGGTTAAAAAACAGAAGCCCTAACGCCAGGCCGTGGCAAAGTGAAACGCATAGTGGACAAGAAGCTGAGACAACTTGATTATGAGAAGGCCAACGACCTTGGACAAATGGTCTACCCTCTTTGGTTCTCAGTTTCCACATCTGAAAGAAAAGGAGGTCAGGCTCAATCATTCCTAAGGCTCCTTTCAGTCCTAAGATGCTATGTCATTTTCCCTGAATTCCAGGAAGGAAAAGTGAAATTCAGCTCCTTAAAGCAAGATCCACATCCTGCTCATTTCTTGTTCCCAGATTTAGCACATGATGTGGCTACACAATAAATTCTTGTTGAAATTAATTAAACTAAGTAATCATTCCTTTAGTTGGTTTGTATTGAATAAGGAGTACCTCTCAAAAGAAGTATTTTATCCTTCCTTCTCCTCAGAAGAGCTCTCTTAATTCTTTTGTTTTCCAGTTGTTCCCATAATTTTGCCAACTAAAGTTCTAAGTGCCCACCGGAAATCGCTGAATCTTGTTGATTCTCCTCAACCACTCCTAAAAAAGGTAAAGTATTTAGAATCACTAAAGTGTAATGTTCTTCAATGCTGGTATAGTCCCAAGAACTCTTTTAAATGGTTGAATTCAAAAGAAAGAGCATATTTCTTGATATCCAGGTCTTTTAGGATTAGAAATTCTGGGTTTCCATGTGAACCCGCTCACTTAGTTGTCTGGAATCTGCTTTGTGTCAGTATGCACAGTGAATTTGATGCGAACCTTTATATTTTGCGTGTAGGAAAAGGCTACTGACTTTCTAGCCACTCATCAGAATCTGTGTCGCGCTAGAGGAAAGAAGCTAGCTCACTATCTAGCCCTGTCCTGTCTGTGCCAGCCAGCCAAGGCCAGGCTACTTGCAGAGCAGGGTACAAAACTGGAAAAAGATTCCTCAGGAGAATAAAATCTTAGGGTGTTCCCCACTGGTTCCCATAATTTGTTCTTTTATCCAGAAATCTTTCTTGATTTTATCCCACTTGAATAGAAAGATTCAGCATCTATTGGAGAATATTTTAACCTAACCTCAATTTTAGGTTAAAACTCACATACTTTTTGTATTTGATTTGCTTTCAAAAAAATTTTCTTGAAATATATAGAGAGAAAAGTGTATAAAGTGTAACCGCAGAGCTCAATGAATTATCACTGAGCCAACAGACCCGTGTAAATGACCAACCACACTCTGTGCCCCCCCAGTTGCTCCCTCCCTATCCACTCCCAAGGTAACTGCTAGCATGAGTTCTAACACCAGGGGTTAGTTTTGCCTGTTTTTGAACTTTCCATAAATAAAACTTACACATATTTTAACCTGTTCAGTCCGGTGTCTTGCAAACATTGACTACCACAGTGATTCACTGATCAAAAATAGTAAAGCAAATAAATAAAAAGCTACAAAAGATTCACTGAAAACCTGGAGCCCAGGAAAGCAACAGAATTCCAAGACCAGGTTGGTGTATCACTTCCTGATCTTCTGAAAGTTCACACGCTCGGCACCTCTCCCTTACCTTTTGGCTTTTGTACGGCCAGGCCCCCAAAGATGACTTCCAGTGGCCCAGGGACGACCATGGTGACGTGGACTGTGAGAAGCTGGTTGAGCAGCTGAAAGATTGTTCGAACCTACAGGACCAAGCAGACATTTTATACATTCTGTATGTAATAAAGTAAGTTGATGGTCTTCACTAGGTTGAACTTTCTCCATTCTCCTTGACTTTGTCCTACTCCTCTTGGCCTTCCAGCAAGCCAGGTCATGATTATATTCACCCAGATTACTCAGGATCACCATGAACAGGCTTCCATCCCCTTCCCTGCCTTCCCTTCCATTCCTTTCCCTACTTCCGTGCTTGCCTCCCAGGACGAGAAGGCTGGGTGAAGCCAGGATCTCACCGTTTCCTGATGTTAGGCTTCTGTTTCAAATAGACAGAAGGGGTGCTTTGGTAAGATGCAGCCCTCTCGGTGAGACTTGGAGGCACTGGGAGGGCCCCGAGCACTTGGCAGAATGCACAGCGATTCATTCCCCTCCCTGCCAGGTGAGCTCTGCTGCAAGAGAATCCGGCCTTCAAATGTTCCAGTTTTTCTATCTCTTGACAGGGGCCCCAGCTGGGACACAAATCTCTCTGGACAGCACGGAGTCACTGTTCACACCCTCCTCAGCGAGCTCTATGGGAAAGCCGGCTTGAACCAGGAGTGGGGTTTGATTCGCTATATCTCTGGCCTGCTCAGGAAGAAAGTGGAGGTCCTGGCTGAGGTCAGAGGCACTGCGTGCAGCCTGTCTGTTTGTCCTTTCTAGCCCCACTTCCAGTCTTCCTGTTACGAAAGCTAGAGGCAAACACCTCTTATTTGTAAAGGAAACCGGCTATTTAATATATATATGGAGCGGACCTTCCTCTCCTGACCTCCCACTGCTCTTGGAAGGCAATGAAATTCAAGTTGATTAATTTTGTTCCTTTTTAGCTCAGAAAAAGGTTTACCAAGAAATAAAATGAAAATGCTCTGGTCTGGCAGGCACCCTTTTAAACAACTTGCTTATTTCTGCACATCCACAGTACAATCATCATTAATATTTTAACCGCAAGGCAGGCCCTGCAAAATCCAGAACTGCTTTCTCAGACATTAAAGTTCAGTGATAGAGTAAGGCGACAGTATTTGTTATATAGGAATAGTGGGGACACTGGCAATTTAGCACTCTAATATGGTCATTAACCCTTAACAACAGTATCTTAGGACTCACGACAGCCCATCTTGTTTGTGGCATATCAGGCCCCGGCCTGGGGCCACATACTGGGGACACAAAGATCACTAGGACCCAGCCCTGCCTGGGCTGCTCAGTTTGGGGTCTATGTATGAATTTTTCAAATAAATGACAACATGGGTCATAAAGTTTGTAAAGATAAATTTATGATCTTATTGGTGTTGACCTTTCCCTGTTGGTTTTGCTAATGTCTCTCTCTCCTCCCACCCCCTTGCCCTCTCACCCTTTTTCCTAAATGGATAGGCCTGCACAGACCTGCTGTCACACCAGAAGCAGCTCACAGTGGGCCTGCCACCAGAGCCCCGGGAGAAGATCATCTCTGCGTAAGTCATCAGCCTGGGGGCCTCAGGTTTGTGGGGGATCTTGGGGAAAACATCAGTGCCACCCCCCATTCAGGAAGAGGGTCTTTTTAAAGACACTGTCATTCAGGAGTGGAATGGAAAATAGGGACCTTCCACGGAGGGCGAGGAGGCACCACTCCTGGGCATTTTTCATGGTGTTTGTGTCCTGATGCTCCTTCGTAGGCCCCTTCCCCCCGAGGAGCTCACACAACTCATCTACGAAGCCAGTGGGCAGGACATCAGCATTGCCGTTCTCACACAGGTCAGCTGGCTGGGGAGGGGCGGAGCTGCGGCCTTCTCTGGGCAGCCAGGGCCTCTCTGCCACCACCCTGGTCTCTAAAACGCTGCCTCCACATGTGTCTGCATCAGGAGATCGTGGTTTACCTGGCGATGTACGTCAGGGCGCAACCCAGCCTCTTCGTGGAGATGCTCCGACTCCGGATTGGACTGATCATTCAGGTGATGGCCACCGAGCTGGCGCGAAGCCTCAACTGTTCAGGTGCCATGTGCGCAAGTGGACTCCAGCGGCTCCTGCGGCTCCCGCCCCAACCTGCCCTGCCTCCCGGGGAGCCCCGCCCAAGCATTCTGGAACCCAGGCTTCTGAGCCTTTGCGCGTGCTCCTGCTTTACTGGGTTCTCTAGTTTAGATGTACCTTCCGCCAAGCCATCCAGCACAGGGTGGTGAATTTCATATGTCAGGGAGAATGAGGCACTAGAAATCTTCCACTCTGCTCCTGACATCTAAGTTCCTTACTGTATCTCCTTGCAGTGAGATGTCATCCCCCATTTAATAATACCTCCACCGGGCGAAATTCTACCAACTTAAATATATAAATCAACTGCCAGATGCATTCTAACATCAGGATCATTACGGTGTGAAAAATTACACAATTTAAACAACAGCATTTAGAATCACCAAGGATCAGTCCATTTCAGCCCTGAATAAGTGGTGAGGTAATCCTCAGCAGGGAGGCCTGCCACAGCATCCTTTGTCACTGCCGCCCCGACTCTACCTGTACCTGCCACCAGCCCTGTGTCTGGGACACTTACAAGATGTTTGTTTTAGGAGAAGAAGCTTCTGAAAGTTTGATGAACCTCAGCCCTTTCGATATGAAAAATCTCTTGCACCATATTCTAAGTGGAAAAGAGTTTGGAGTTGAAAGAAGCGGTAAGTAAATGCTGGTTTTTTCTCTGTGGGGAGGGGACCAGAGCGGGCCTGACTGACGTGTCCAGCATCGCCTGGAACCGCTTCATTTATGTACAAATTGACATCAGTAATCACAATTTGAGACATACTGTATGAGGCTAAGGTTCCTACTGTACCGAGGTGGACAGAGTCGTAGGTTGGAGGTTCCGACTTGTAGGGCTTTGTGACTCCTCATAGACTTACTGGGAGAGCTGTGGTCGCTTGTGGTTGTGGTGTGCACACCTCTGCATCTTGGCCTGCCGCCTCCCTCCTGCCGTAGGTCCAGGTACTGTCACTTCTGCACAAGTGTTAGGAAGAGGTGAGGTGCCCAGGGGGTCAGGATGAAAGGGCTGTCTTTTCCCATCACCTGAGTGCCCTGCCTTTGGTTTGCGTAGAAGTGTTCTCAACCAGACCCCCCTTACCCAACTTCATGGGGCAGAGAGAAGAGCCCTCTACACCCTCACAGCACCTTTTTGGTGAGTGAGTTCGCCTCGTCCCCATCTTGCTCGCTCAGTTCTATCTGTACCGGAACCCTGTTTGCACTGCTAGGAAATATAATCGCCCAAGTCCTGGTGGAATTCTGTTCTCAAATGCTCCCTAATTATAATTGAAGCAATTATCATTTCTCCTCTTCATAATAAAGTGAAATGATTTGCAGACACATTTGTGAATTTATTTCATCAAGCCAAAGAAATGCAGTGTGGGCTGTCACTCTTTTTATTTAATAAGAAGGACATAAAGTACTTCATATTTTTTCCCCAGAGTGTGTGCCAGCCGGCAAACAAAGACGGCATCGCGCAATCAGATGTGTTTTGGTGGCTTTTCTCCTTTGCTGAAGGGAGAGTGCTCGAGATCCCTTTCCAAAAGTCATTTTCAGTTCTTTCAAATGCACAGTCCTTGACATGTAAATATACAAGATAAATATTTAATGTGTTCTTTTCATCAAAATAATGTATGTGATTTGACACAGATAATTACTAAAAATCTGTTATTAGATATAAAGCTATAGATGCTTACGAAACTAGGACCCGAGTAATGTCACTTGAAAGCCAAAAATATGTCTAATTGCAAGTTAGGCCAGAAGAGGTCCCATCTTTTTACATATAACATCATTTGTTAATTGTCCTTTGTAATTTTTCAATTTTTATAAACTAGGAAACTCAAAGAGTCTTAGACTTTTGATTAAATCCTGAGATATCTGAGAAATATTTCCAGCTAATGCCCACCCCATACAGATCCCACTGTAGCATCCCAGACCCCTTTGGCTTCTGTTTTCCACTTTGCTGGTGTCCTTCCTCCCTTTCTGGCTACTCACTGTGTTTCCTTTGTAGGTTCCTCCCCTTTTGCTGTCCTTTAAATGTAGGTGTCCCCAGCTCCTTATTTGTCTCTACTCCCCTAGCAGTGCCCTCCGTTCCCGTGGCTTCAGTGGTGGGTTGGGTTGGAAGGTGGGCCTGCAGGGGATACTGCCTGAAGAAGGGACCTTTGAGCTGGGCCTGCAGAAGGAGAGGATGTGCCTGACAGAGGGGAGCAGGGCGGGAGGGAGCAGCATGTGTAAATGCCCAGCACTGTGTGGCTGGCCCAGAGTGAAGAGCTAAGAGGGGCAGGTGGGGCTCAAGTCAGTGGGGCTTTTTGTGCCGCTGGGAGGATTGTTTGGGCTTTATCCTGAAGACAGAGCTAGGCCTGGAAGGATTCTGAGTGGGCAGTGACATGATCACACTTGCCTTTTAGAATGATCGCTGTGACCACAGTCTGGAGAACCGGTTAGTGAGGGGCGGGGCTGCAGACAAGCATGTGTCCCAAGGCTGCTGCCGCAGGTTGGAAGTGAGGCAATGGAGGCCTCCCTGCCCCTGTGATGGCAGCAGCACACTGACCCTCTGGCAGCCACGTCTTCTCTGCCTCCAGCCCTTGGTCAGCTTGTTCTCCTAGAACTTCCCTCTCCAGCCCAAGGCCCCTTAATTGGGTGGTCTCAGTTTTCTACAAGGAAAATTTGGGGGAAGTGAAAAATTATTTTTAAAAAATTTATCCAATTCATTAAAGGGTTTCATGGGCACTCAGTGTTTTCTGCACGCTGCTTAAGCGACGTTCTCTCTTGCATCCATTTGCTTAAACACGCGTTGAGCTTGTGCTGTGTAGCAGGTACTGTTCCAGGTGCTGGAAACAGAGCACTGGCCAGGGCAGATGAGGCCTCCCTCCTCTAATGGACTGTATAATCAAGGGGGAGAGGTAGATGCAGATAAAAATAAGCACATTGCACGCATTCCTCTCAGGGTGGATGGTGTATAGTCTCTAAGAACCACATGTGTGTTTCCCCTCCAGTGCGACCTATCCATTCCTCCACATCCAGCCCTGCCATCTCCATCCATGAGGTGGGCCATACTGGAGTCACCAAAACCGAGAGGAGTGGCATTAACAGGCTGAGGAGTGAGATGCAACAGGTAAGAAGCGCTCTCGGCAGTGGCAGCCAGGAAAGAAATGGCTTTCCTACCTGGGCTCACCTCAGAAAGTGACAGAACCCGGGGCATGCAGGGTGCAGCCTGCACTTTGTAGAGGCCGTGAGAGCCTTTCTGTCCTGGAGTCTGAGCACACCCCTGCACCAGATGTCCCAGAGCCACTCACGTGCACTCACATGTGGTACACTTTAACATGTTATGTGAACATTCTGGAAAACGCCCTTCCTCATGTTTGCCTCTGTTGCCGAGAGCCACTCTTTCAAGTGGGCCACAGCCATTTAAAAAGTACAGTCGTGCAAAAGGTAACTGGAATCATCTCTCCATCAAATGTGGCCTTCAAATGAAATCATGAGAGGAATCTAGAAATAGAATGGAATGCTTGTGATACCTGCAGTCGCCACCAGCCACAGGTGTCTCTTTTCTTTGTTCACCTTGATTTACTTCATGATGAAGTCCTGAACTGATCCCACAGGACTGCAAGTCAACAGCTTTTCAGTCCTCGTGTGCCAGGTCTTGTGCTAGGGCTTGACCGTGATCTACAGTAGGAAACAGAGTTTCCTTCTGACCATGACCTGCAGGGAGAAATGCACTCGGATTTTCTTCTCCATTTCAAATGATGGCTCACTAGATTGAGTCCATGAGGCACTAGTGGGTCACACCCTGTAGTTTGACCGACACGTCCCTGGACTGTCTAGAGGGTGGTACAAGTAGGAGGGCATCCTTGATTCGAAACTGGTTTTTGTTTACTGCCTGATGTATTTTTACTTTCAGATGACTAGGCGATTTAGTGCTGACGAACAGGTGAAAATCTTTGTCTTGTTCCGTCCTTTACCATGTGTGCTTCATGTTCTTTCTGGCTTGAATGTGGAAAGCGAGGCTGTGAATATGAAGAATCTGAACGCGTGGGGAACGGGTCTGCCCACCAAACAGGCTTGGGTAGAGGGGACTCCGCAGGCCGTAGCAGGCAGCCCCGGGACAGGCAGCCCCAGGGACAGGCAGAGTGCTGGACTTGAAAGCAGGAGAAATGACCTTGCCCCATGCCTTTAAGAAAAATCCATTTATCAAATTCTTGGGTTTTGCAGGATACTTGGTGAAAGAGATGGTCCCAGGCTCTGCCTTGGCAGGCGTTTCTGTTCAGAAAAAGGGAAATAAATAGGGAAAAGTAAAATGTGGTCATTGATTATAACAGTAGAAAGAATACTGCTGTTCCTGTCCCCAGATCGCCTGGGGCGATTTAACCCTGGAAGGAAAAAAAATGTGAAAATACCCATTCTCTTATCACCCTTGTGACATACTTCTCCTCCTTCCAGAAAGTTGGAGTCACATTCCCAATGATTTAATGTCTCCATGACTGAGAGAGCGTAGAGGAATCATATAATGATGTGCAGGTTCTATGTGTCGTCCCAGGGAAAAACATGCGTGCTCTCTCCTTCTAATTTATGCCCTTTCCAAGTAAGCAACAGACTTTCCAAACATCTTCCTTTGCCAGCCACTCGGTGGCGCCATCTCTCTGGTTACCCACATGCTGATGGCGGCTGACAGGGGGTGAATATGGGTGGTTCCTTCCGCCTCTGTTTAATGCCGTCCTTGCATATTATGGGGACAAAATGATCACCTTTCTTCTTTGATGGGTTTAAAATCAGTTAGCCAGTACAAGTTTTGTATTTGGCCACTTACATCAAGGAAATATATTATTGTCTGTCCAAAACTTAATAGATGCCATGGCATTTTAAATTTCTATTCACTTTTGTGAGAACACCGTGGGTGCACGTGTGTGTGCTCAGGCACTATCCCCATGCAAGTTAAGGATACATTCTAGATTTTTAGATGAAGAAATACTCGTTTGGCAAAAGGGCATCAGCCAGATCTTATTCATTCATTTAACAAATATCTATTGAATGCCAGTAGGTGCCAGATGCTCAATGCTGGTTATGGGTATTTTGTTGATCTCTGTAGATTTTTCACAACTCTTAACATAGAAGATTAACATTTCACGGCTGTAACTTTGGGAAATAAATTGTGTCCTAACTTGATGAGGCACTCTCCACATTCGACTAGAATGTGGGAACATGTCATACTCAGAGAAAGAGCATTTCCCAAGTTCTCCATTGCACGGAGCCACAGAGCTCTGCCCCTGCCCATCTCTGGGGCTGTTTGCCTGGTTGGTAAGTGAGAAGTGTACACCCGCATCCTCTGCACCTTCTTTCCGCGGGCATTTTCAGTGCTGTTCTACGTTCTTCCTCTCTGCTTGCGTCCTTTGGTGTCACTGCATATGACTGAGCGGACTCTCTTTGTTTTGTAGCTCTTTTCTGTGAGCCAGACTGTGTCCAGCAGCGTGCATTCCTCCAAGTCTGCGGTAAACTGTGTCCTACCTTTTGTCCTCCTCACCGCCGCCTCCTTGGTGGTGATGTCTAAATCCTCTTGTTGCCCTTCTCGTGCTCCCACCTCATCCCTAACTCCCAAAGATTTGAACAGATTTACATGTTTTCATTTGACTGTCGTTTTGAGGAGAATCTAGAAAGAAAGCCAAGAAGGTCATGAACTGAGCTTTGTTTGTCCAGGAGCTTCTGGAACCTTCAAGGCATTGGTTCTGTGCCTTTCTATTGAGCCATGGTTGTGAACCATTGCCCGCATGTGCTGATTAGCACTTTGTCCTCATAATGCCCCTGCTTGGCGTGAGGCCCCAGATCAAGTGGACGACTAGGAAATGTTCTAATTGCAGAGGCGAGCCTGAATCTTCCTCCTGAAACTAGAAGGAGAAAACCAGCTGAGTCATTGATGAGTGTGGCTGTAATTACTTTTATTTGTATCTAATTGTTGCCATATTTAAATGGCAGTAATGAGCCCAATGGAATAACCCAGCTTAACAGCCTTTTCAAAATAAGATCCGATGAAATCGAAATGAGTACATAGAGAAAACTCCTGCCTCTTGCCCTGCTAGCGTGCTTAACATTTGCATTTCCATTTTAAACCTTTAAATTTGATGTTGTGCACTGAGAAATGAAAGTGCCAGATAGTTGAGAACAAAGATAATGTGTCAGCATGAAGGTTTCCCTTTCCCGACCTGCAGACACTTCCATCCACGGAGGAAAGCATGCCGTGAGCTTTGCTGCAGGGAGGGTATGCGGCGTGGCCTCACCCGTCTGCTGCTTGCCCCCATGCTGAGCGCGCCCCGCTTTCAGGCCTGCTCTCCAGGCCCCCACTGGGAGCCTCCAGAGCTGCCTCTGCAGTGGTGAGTGGGCCTGCCGCTCCTGAGGCCAGAAGCAGAACTGCTGGCCCTGCCTCAGCACTTCCCTCATGGAGGCCAGAATCAGTCCAGCCTCAGGCGAGGAGGTGGGAAGGAGATGGCGCCCTCTCCCTCTGCTTCGGCAGAGCACATGTTCCTGGCGGCCGTCGCCCCAGATTAGGATAAAGCCCCATGCTGAGAACGGGCAATGTAGAAAGCGGATTGCAAAGGACGGGTGGGTGTACCATAATCTCTGAGGTCCCCGCTACAAAATGTAGCTTTCCAGCCTTTACTTTCTGTCTTTGGCTCCAGATCCTCCCCCTGCTCCATTATGGGTTGCATTCTCTGTGGCACCTGCTCTATGGGGAGTGGACCACCACTTCTCTGTGGCACTGCAGAAGTACAGTGGGCACTTCAGCATTTGTCTCCCAGAGCTATGGCGCCTCCGAGGGGCTCACCTGCTCCGAGGGCTGGTGTCTCTCCCTAGTCCCTCCTACAGCAATGCCAGAAGGCCTTGGTAGTGACAGCTGCCCTCATGGGCACTTACCACAAGGCAGGCGTGCTCTCAGGATTTTCTATATCCTCATTCAGTGAGTGCTCAGACAGCTCCCTGAAGGGAGTCCGACTGTGTCTCCATCACACTGATGCGGCCGAGGCCCAGAGCTAATGTTAGGAGTTGACACAGCTAGTGTTGAGCTGGGATTCGCAGCCTTGCCCCAGAGCCCACACCCTTACCTACTTGGCCTCCCCCTGCCAGGTCAGGGTCCTCTGATGCTGTTCTCCTTCTTGGGGGTGGGGAGGAGTGCAAATAAGGAATTCAGTAACCAAATCAGTGCATGAACAAGTTAATCCAGCTTCAAGAAACGGCCAAGGTCAAATCAAGGAAGCACATCCCTCTCTGGGCAAGTGGTGACCTGGTGTTTTTGACTCGTTCACTGAGCCGGCCTTCACTATGGCCAGCATGACCCTGCGGCGCCAGCTATGGGGCTTCTGAAGGCCGTGTGCTGTCTGTCTTGCAGAGATCCAGCACCCCATCCTCACCCACGGGCACATCATCGTCAGACTCAGGCGGGCATCACATTGGCTGGGGGGAGCGGCAGGGCCAGTGGCTGCGCAGGAGAAGGCTGGACGGGGCCATCAACAGGGTCCCTGTGGGATTCTACCAGAAGGTGTGGAAGATCCTTCAGAAGGTGAGCTTGGCTGCTGTGCTGCATCCCACAGGCCTTGGTGCTGTGGACACACACTCCCAGGGAAGTGAACCATCCCTTCTTACTCCCTTGGTGAGGCGTGGTGGCACCTACAGGTATTAGGTAGCATGTGAGTGCAGAACAAGCAAACGCAGCCTCCGCCTTGGGGAGCTCACAGCCTAGAGTAGAGTTTCTCCACCTCGGCACCACTGACATCTGGGGCTGAGTAATTCTTTGTTGGGGCTGTCCTGTGCATTGTGGGATGTTAAGCAACTTCCCTGGCCTCCACCCACTCGATGCCAGCAGCACCCCCTCCCCGAGTTGTGACAACCAAAAATGTCTCCAGACATTTTTGCCAAGTGTCCCCCGGGCAGCAAATCGCCCCTGGTTGAGAACCACTGGCTAGAACCACAGCAAGTTAGATAAGGTGGCAGCCCCCGTTGTGTGGGACCACCTTTGACATACTTTAGGAACATAAAAAAGTCAGAAGATAAACAAGAACCGGAGAACGCAGGGAAAGCTTTGGATGAAAACACCATGACGTAGATGACCCGGAACAGCCCCCGCAGGCCTTAGCCTCCTGCACTTTCAGGCAAGTATGGTGTCCATGCCATTCCACAACATGATGGAGCACCTCCTGTCTGCAGGGCACCACGTCGGGTTCTGAGGGCTTCCAGTCTGACCCCAAGTCTCAGGTGCCCTGAAGGCACAATCACCACACACCCTGGGCCGCCTCTGCTTCCCCACTTGGAGGACGGGGCATCCTCCAGACCCGCTCCCCTTAGCCAGCTGCCCACTACGCCTGTGGCCCTTAGACAGGGGTGCGTTCCCCAGCTGCCTGGGGCTGTTAAAATATCAGCAGAGGTCATCAGAAACAGATGTAAGGTGACAGCCCCAGACTCCACTGCATGCACCTGAGTGCCGGAGAGCCCGCCTGATCACCTAGTGCCAAGGAGTGGTCAGCGGGGAGAGCCATGCTCTTTTGTCCTCTGCACCCATGTTCTGCCTCCCTCCTCCATCGGCCCCAGAGCATTCCTGTGGCTCCCTGGGTCCCACCAGAGCTTGTCTTTCCCCTTGCATGGAGGGACAGTCTGCCTCAGTTAAAAGCTTCTGTGCAAACCAAGAACCAGGGGCAGGACTGATTTTTTCCTAAAACTATTTTTGTTAGCTCATTTCACAGTAGAGAAAAGTAATCACAAACGAGTGCATGCTACAGCCCCCTTCCCAAAGCCACAGCACCCTTCGGCTGTGTCATTTTGCGGCAGGGGCCCCTGGCCCATTGGGGAGCCTTTAGCCTCTCTGCTGTGTGGGGACTGAGGTCTTCCTCAGGGAGCTGGGCATGGGGAGGTCACAGCGGTCCCTGTCCTTGTGCAGCTGGACTCCCGGTCCCCACGTGGGAGCAGAGCCCGTGCGGCCTCTGGTTCTCCGTTCTCAGCCTCTTGTCAAGAGGCACAGGCGTTTGCTGCCGCTCTGTCCTCAGGCCATCGGGGACAGGGGTGGGGCCGCCGCTGCCAGCCAGGGCACTGGGATTTAGAAGGCAGCCAATTAGACCAGAACAAACTGTTCCTAGAAAATCTCCCCACGCTTCCTGGGGCATCACACGCTTCCATCCAGACTTCCACTGGCTCAATACCAAGACACTTTTATTATGAAAAAGCAGCATCTTGTATCGAGCCGACGCTTGATTTATATTTATATACACGGGTGTGCGTGTGCATGTCTGTGCATGTGCTTGAGTCTTTTGTGATTGGTGCTTATTATAGAAATCTCAAAAATAGATGCCTGCAAAGGCACAGAATTATCACTTTGCCAGCAGGAGCCATGAAAATCTCCTTTAATATGGCACCAAAGGGGGCCTCAGCCGCCAGGGCTGGGTTGCCAAGCGAAACGCAGCGCTTCCACAGAGGAGGACCCGGTAGCGCCCTGGGGCATTGTTCCTGCGTGATCTGAGAGATGCCTGTTGCTTCCCTAGAATTGTTCCATTGAAAACACAGCCTGTGGGCAGTGAGAACAAGCTCTCTCAAAATAACTCTGACAGTCTGGCGTGTTCCAGCCCTCACGCAGGTTTCCAGGGCAGAGCAACTTGAGTGTGTGTGCGTGTGTGCGTGCGTGCACACTTATTAACCACGTTCTGGAATCTGACTGAAATGTGGTATGTGTATTCTGCCTCCAGTGCCATGGTCTGTCCATCGATGGTTATGTGCTGCCATCGTCAACGACACAAGAGGTATGACGGGAAAAGCCCGAAGGGCGGCCTGCGAGGGTTCCACCAAGGGCTTCATTTCACGGGCTCTGACCACTCAGGCTTCTTTCAAGCTTGTTACGTAAAGACAGGCCATCTGTAGGGCTGATCTTTTTAGCCACTTAACTTTCAAATTTTGCACTTTCTTTCCCACACTTATTAGCATCACGTTTTCTCCTTCCCCTCAGAAACAGCATCTCTGACTACCAAGGTCTTTAGATGTGCCCCTTAAACCCCTATGAAGAGAAAAGAGCAAAACCACATGCCACACTCGTGTACCCACATGCAGCCTCCTCTGGCCCGAAAGCAGCCATCTTCCTGGTTTCTTTTCCCCTATTCTTTTAAAAATTGATTTTTAGTTTTTACCCCACCCAAGGCATGATGCTATATGCCCCAAGGAATGATGAAGAAGAAAGAAATAAGAAATGGTCCCTACCGCTTGGAAGCCACAGTCCCGTGGGGTGGGTAAATAAAGCTAGGACCAGGCCGACTCCCAGAGCAGAGCTGTCAGCCTCCTGCTCCAGAGGATTCCTGCTGGCACAATCTGGAAAAGTGGCCAGAAAGTAGGCAGTGTTTGAGCTGCCCCCAATCCCAGTGGGGGCTGTGGTCAGCACTGGTGACAGGGCTGTGTCTGTCCTGACTCATTCCTGACCCCCCGCTGGTCCCTTCGGCAGATGACCCCGCAGGAGATCAAGTTTGCTGTCCACGTTGAGTCGGTGCTGAACCGCGTGCCCCAGCCCGAGTACCGGCAGCTGCTGGTGGAGGCCATCATGGTGCTGACACTGCTCTCGGACACGGAGATGAACAGCATCGGGGGCATCATCCACGTGGACCAGATCGTACAAGTGGCCAACCAGCTGTTCCTGCAGGACCAGGTGGGTGTGCCCAGGCCCACCCAGTCACCCCACAGCCAAGGTGGGGACAGAGGCAGGGTAGCCAGGTTGGCTGGCATGTGTATCTCTGTCAAGGCTGGAGAGTCTGTGTCCACTAGGAAAGAATATTCTCGAACAAAGAAAATGTCATCACTGATGGTGAAAAAGTGTCATCCATTTGGTTAGAAAATGGCACAGTGACCTTTGGAGATGGACAGGTCTATTTCAGCATATGTTTTAGTGCAGACACCACCCTTGCTGTGAACAGTCATGCGTCACTTAGCAATGGGGACACGTTCTGAGAAATGCATCACTTGGTGATCTCGTTGTTCTGTGAACATCATAGAGTGTCCTTACACAAACCTAGATGGTATAGCCTATTACACACCTAGGCTCTATGGTACTAATCTTATGGGACCACCATCGTCGATGTGGTCCATCGTTGACCAAAACTTTGTTATGCAGCACATGACTATATATGGCCCTGGGTAAACAAACCACTTAGCCTGCACTCACAGTCGAATTGGGAGAAGCCGTCCTCTCACTATAGAGTTAGTAATGCGCTGAGAACTAGGGCGTGTGGGAACACAGTGCAGTGCCGGGAGCAGAGGCCAGATGCCCTCCCCCTGCGCTGTGGGCTCTCCTGCCCTCAGGCTCCGAGCTCTTCTCCCCAGGCCGCGGGCCTCTAGCGACCCGGCCTCCAGCACACAAAGTCACCACAGGGCCGCAGGGGTGGACTCTGCTCATTCTTTGCCTCTGCCTTTTCCTGCTGCAGATGTCAATTGGAGCCATGGACACCCTGGAGAAAGACCAAGCCACGGGCATTTGCCACTTCTTTTACGACAGCGCTCCGAGTGGAGCTTATGGGACAATGACCTACCTGACAAAGGCAGTGGCTTCTCATTTGCAGGAATTGCTGCCCAATTCAGGCTGCCAGATGCAATAGAGCTCGGCACTCTGAGTTTCTCACTCACCCTCTAGCCTCCTTGGGAACTTTCTTCTGTTCCCCAAGATCCCTTGTGCTGTCACAAAAGCATGTCCCATCAGAAACACTGGCAGGGAGGAGATGGCGGTGACTGACCTGAAACCAATGTACGTCCAAGCCACAGAAAGAGCCAGTGACTCCTGTATTCCCCCAAGGAGCGCCATGGGATCGTTGTCTAGGCGCATTTCACTGGAACATTTGTCACAGCAGCTGGTCTCCTCGAGTCTGGGGAGGAATTGGAAATCGGTCTCATTTGAGTGCAGAGCGAACTGAGAAGCCAGTCTAAATTGGCTCTCGCAGAGTTACCGAAATAGGTTGGATGAGCTAGTGACACATCTTAAAGATGGAAAGATCCTTCCAGCAGCAGTAGCTAGACGAGTGGACCTTGACAAGGGGAACATCTTAACAGGATGCAGTCTGGGGACCAAACCATTTACCAAATAGAAGAACTCTCTTTCTGTGGAATTTTGGTTTGCTTGTGCTTTGCTTTCTTTCTTGGCCTCTTGTTTCATTGGCATAGCTGCCTTTGCGTGACATAATTCTCTCTCACGAAGATTAAGAAAATTGCTCCCAGTTAACTTTGGTTCGTGGTCTTCAAGGATTATCCTGGCCACCTATGAATTAAGGGTTTCTCCTGCCTTATGAAAAATCCCACATTTTCCAGAATCTAGCCAAAAAAAAAAAAAATGACAGTAGCTTCTTATAGCTGGGCCAACTGTTGTTTTGGGGCTGGAGCAGGCAGAGTCCCTCTGGAAGGCCCGTGCCCCCCACCCCCCATGGGGTGACCACTCTGGCAGGTGATGGTACTGTCCCCCTGTGCTCTGGGGGAACCACGTGATGACTGTGTGGCACCAGATGCCATGGGAATTAGTGGTGTGCTCCCGCAGAAACAATGCTTCCCTCTTATGATCGAGCCAGGCTGGGGACTCAAGCCCTCCTCGTGGAAACACCTGAACTTAACGCTCTCGGGTAGGCGTGGTTGGAGGCCTTGAGTGTAGAGGAGCAAGGACAAATCCTGACAGGGCAGGGCCTCGACAATGTCCTGGTGGATGGAGTTTCTCTCCAGGCGTCATCTTACCTTGGGGTGCTGGGGGCGGTGGACAACAACAGGGAAACAGTTTCTGTGAATAATGGACTTTGAAGGACAGTCCCCTGGTGGCCAAATGGTGAGCTCTGACTGCTTGAGAGTGCTGGTTAGACAAATGGTTAGATTTGTCACGACTCTGCCTCTGAAATGGGGGCGTGGCCATTGGATCTTTGCTCGGAAGTTTACGGGAAGGTGAAGAAAGCCGATGCTCTAGCTGCTTTGAGGGGACGTCGCGGTGCCCGGCGCCCCTTAGAGTCAAGATGCAGTACTGCCGGTTATTCTGGAAGCAGAGGGAAGGCAGGGTGGCCTCGTGTTCCTGACGCTTCCTGCTAAAGAACCTCTCTTCAGTCCAAGCCAAATACTTTGCAGTTGCCCCTGGAAGAGACGGTCTAGAACACAATCTCAGTGCACCTCCCTGGGCTCGGTGGTGTTCAGGCACAGGACTTCAGTGCCTTTGTTTTCTGTTTCTTTGAAACCACAGAACTTTCCTTGCTGAGGTACAGAGTAGTTACGTAAAGGAAAAGGCCCCGGAATCTCTCGATTTCTGCTCCAGTGGCCTTCCGCAGTCTCCTCTTTCCCCCACTTCCTATTAATGTCAGTGTGTAAAACCTTTCTCCTCGGATTACTAGATCCTTCCCTCATTTGTCAGCACATGTGGAGCGCTTTGTGTGTGCCAGGTGTAGGAACATAAAGATAAATGAGACATGACTCGGCGCTCAAGGACCTCACCCCAACGAGGAAGGTCAATGTGAAAAGATGACCATGCTCTAGTGGGGCAGGGACGGTGTTGAGAGACGGACATGGTGTGGGACCAGCAAGGTGGGGCCTGCCCAGAGCACTGGCATTGGCAGGACAGATCCCAGAGACAGTGGGGGCGGCCTGGCCTGCAGTTCTGGCCCATGTGGCACATAGCATCACCTGCTGCTGTGCCCGCCACCCCAGATCCTACGGTGCCCTGTCTTCCCTGGGAAGCCTGTTTGCTCCCATTTGCGTCTGAGGGTCCAGGGGGGTCACAGCCACCCAGATTTCATAGCAGCATTTTCATAGCCTTTATTTTTGGTGTCTTTAAGACATGCTTGACATAAACAAGTCTCATGTAATTCATGTAAGAAAGGTAGAGGGCCGGCCCCGTGGCTTAGTGGTTGAGTGCGTGCACTCTGCTGCTGGCCGCCCGGGGTTCGGATCCCGGGCGCGCACCGACGCACGGCTTCTCCGGCCATGCTGAGGCCGCGTCCCACATGCAGCAACTAGAAGGATGTGCAGCTATGACATACGACTATCTACTGGGGCTTTGGGGGAAAAAAATAAATAAAATTAAAAATTAAAAAAAAAAAAAGAAGAAAGGTACAAGCTGTGAAAGTCCTGGTTGCTTCTTGGGAGAAGGCTCAAGAAGAGTTACAGCCCTCCAAAATGAGCCAGCTGCTAATTTAGAACATCACCTGCGTGTGGATGACGTGCAAAGCCGCAGCTGCTGTGTTTGGGCTCACCGACCGAGATGCGGGCCGGGAGGAGAGCCATAATAAGCAATTCCACCGAGCCTTCGGTTCACTCCTGAAACCTCTTTCAAACGAACTCCGGAAATAGTACCGCCTTTCCACAGGCATCAAGCCGTCAGCTTCAAAGAACAGGCTTCTGAGGCTTGATCCCTTTCGTGAGTAGCTGCTGCCCAGGCCAGGAAGAGCAACAGATGTTCCCAGGGATGGTGGAGGCCCTGTCCTGCCACCATTCTGGCCTCAGCAGACTGGGCGTCCACGCCAGGAGAAAGCAGCCTGGCAGCCCCTGGAGCCTCGGGTCTGGGCTGGCGGATTCTCCACCCTGGTGCTCTTTCCTAACTCCCTCAGAGAAGAGAGGCCAGTTTTGACCTTTGCTAGGGCTGGGGGGTAGCTGTTCTGTCTCAGAGCCAGAAACAAACGTTTCTTTTAACATCCTCAGTTGAAAAGCAGCCAGCCGCCCCACCCGCTGCTCAGGTGAATCTAGCAGCAAGGAAGAAGGTTTTGTCTCTGAGTCAGACAGACTAACCAACACCAGCAGCTCTGTGACCTGGGGCGAGTTATTCAGCCTCTCTGTGCCTCTGTAAATGTGCCCAGCTGTAAATGTGCCAGAGGCCTCCATACTGGCACAGGAGTGAGCACCAGGGAATCAGCCATCCCCCCACCTCCCCCGTCTCTGGCAGCCGGGGGCAGGGGAGGCAGCTCTCCCTTTCACAGCAGTGTCTCCCAGGGTGGCGTCTGTCAGGAGGTCAGTCAGAGCTTCTGCACCTCTCCTGAGGCCAAGTGAATGAAAGGAGAGGTTGTTAGGCGTTAGCTCCTGGCTAGAGAGGATGTAAATGCTCCCCGTGTAAAAATAGAAAAAGAAAAAAGACCAGAAGCTCAGGAGGCAAGAGAAACAGCTTGTCAGTTGATTGATGCCATTTACTTCCGGACAAGAAGACGGGAAGCTGGGCCTCCCGTGATGTAAATTACAGCAGAACCTTGCCTCCGTTCTATTGACTAGGGCGCAAGTCTGGCAAATAGCTTTTGTCTTCTCTGCTTCCTTGTTGTCAGAGGGAACAAAAGCCTCCCACCCCTCCCTTGGCACCATTATCTTTCAAGGTGACTCTTGTGCTTTTGAGTCCCTGCCATCTTCTCTGTGCGTCTCTGCACTTTGCATGGTCCCAGGATGCCTTCTGTTCTCCTGGACTTGGCCACTGATAGCTCTGCTTGTGAGGGGAAGTAAAGCCACGCTGTCACCCTCTTAGAGCCCCCTTGTCTCCCTCAGAAAGCCCTCCAGTGCCCCCTTGTCCCCCTCAGAAAGCCATTTAGGAAAAGCCATGTCCTTGAGTTACCAAGAGAGTTCTCTGAGGAATGAGAAGACCTGGAACCACAAGAGAGACTATGCTCGAGTCTAATGCATCCGGAGCCTTTGACTGATGGTTTGGGAGAGGGAAAAATTCCATCAGAAAACAACTATGTTTGTGTTTTTAAGGAACATATGTGCAATTTTGGCGAAAACGCCTTGTAGGAAGGACTGGAATCATCGAAACCAATGAACTCTGAAGTCATGTGATTCATCCCTCTGCCTCATTGCAATATGTCACCTATTCTGAAAAGTGAATTGTTCAGAAAGCATTTATCGTGGGCCTACTATGGGCCAGGCGTTGCTCAGCATGAAGAAATGTGGACTAGTGTGGTGGGGATGAAAAGATGTCTCTTGTTTGTGAAAACCTCTAAGGAAGAACATTCTCCAGCCTGCTGTGGAAGCGCTCCTAGCACTGGTCTGCCAGGACATGCACGCCTCGGACCTAAATCCTCAGCAGCTTTGGCCCCTCTCTCGGTGGGGTGGCCGCCGGGTGCTATCATCTCCAGCTCATGCACCTGGGGGCCAGGCTTTGCAAAGGGCGCGGCTTTGCGTTGTCCACATGGGACCAAGCTGCATCGGGATTGGGCACGGGGCAATGGTTGTGCCTGCCTTGTCTCCTTTTCTGAAAGACCTTTCCGGGTACAAACCCAAGGTAGACTTGCCAAGGAGCAATCCCAGTCACCGGCTCTCAGCTCTCATAGTCTCAGTGTCACCCTTTGCCATGTCTCAGAGTTCTTATTTGCAAATAACAGAAAGCCACTCTGGCTGGGTAGGAAATACGTTTCTTAAAGGATATTGGATAAGTCACATGATCACCAGACTTGGCAGCTCCCCCGCCAGGAACAAGGCCCTGTGTCACTCTCAGGGGCTCAACACTCTAGGGCTTGCACCACAGATACCCCCACCGCTGGCCACTGTCACTGAGACCATCGCCTCTGCTCTTTTGGAAACTAAATATAGAGGCTGCCACCTGTCAGTGAGTGGGTCTCACACCGCCACTAGCTGTGAGTTCAGCCTCAGGCAGGTGTGTGGCGTCAGCCGGGGCGGTTGTTGGCTGAGGGGGAGGTTGGAAAAGCCAGTATCCAAGAGTTCCTCCTTCTAAACTGGAGGCGGGGTTGGCTTCATAACGTGGGGGATCCCCCAGACCCAGGAGTGGGGTTTGGACTCTGAGTATCCAAAACAAAGTGTCCACTATAGCCAGGACTCGGCTTTTATTCCTGTGTCCAAAGAAGAAGGATCTGTGCCACTCTCCCCCCCAACCCCCGGGCCTGCCCTAGGAGCTGACCTGAGAGGTTGTTCGCCCTTTGGGGAAGGTTGTGCAGTGGAGTGAAGAGGGGCCTGCAGGGAGCCCCCAGGCACGTGCGAGTCATCCCCGTGACCCCTGGGCTCGAGCTGGGACGATGCAGTTTCTCTCTTCAGGCTGGAATGTTACTAAGTTGTAGTGGCTGGACGGGCGCTGCTGCCCGGACCGCCAAGCAGACCACCGCCCACGGCTCAGCTTCCCAGGGGCTGGCACGAACTCCCCGGCGGAGCCCTGGAGGAATTGCCAACGTGCCTCGCATCTTTTCATGACCACCAGCCCAGCCCCATTAGCCTTTTTCTGGACCCTGAGTGACAGCCCGTCTGGGACAAGATGCAAATGATTGTCACATCTTTCCTTTTAAGTCTTTAGCCAGCTGGGGGATTTAAAAATAAAGAATTGGAACTGATTTGCAGTGTCAGCCTCTCCTGACAGTGTGAATAATTTCCCCCAGCTGTCACAGGGGACCGTTCCCTGAGTTCTTGCAAGCATCTGAGTCACTCTCCTGGGCTCAAGGGAGCACAGCCATCGAGGCGAGTCGGCCTCTCCCTGCCTGTCCCCTCTCTCCCTCCCGCTCTGTGGCAGCCGGCAAGAACTCCCCACTGCAGTCCTTTCTCCCTGGTGAACCACGACAGACCAAGAGCTAAAACAGCCCAGCAGGCTCCAAGGAGGCTTGGAGAGGGCATTGCACACACCGCTGGCTGAGGCAGCGTCTTGTGAC